TTTGGAGCTTAAATATCAATTGAGATAGTATAAATATTTATATTTTATCAATATGAATATTATATGACAACTTTTTATGAATACTTTTCAACGATTGACTAAAATGATTTATATAGTTTCCAAAATTATTACATAATAGATTTTGGCTTTCAACTGAAGAATTTTATAAATTGTCAAAAGTCGACACATTTTAATAATAATAGGATAATATTTTAATTGCAACCACACGTCTTCTTATTTTTTTTTTGGTTTTAATCATTTTTACAGTTATTGTAATTCAGTTGATACTGTGGGTGTTCCCGATCATCCGTTCAGTGGTAAAAACATGCGTGCTGTGTTGATTGGGGTCAATGTTTGTGGTGGAAAGCGGTAGGGAAGGGGGGAGGTGTTGAAAATTGTGTTAAGACGGTTTTTTTTTTTAGACTTTTAACTTTTTTTTTCTCTTATTGTCGTTCGAAGTCGTTTGATGTCAGCGGCGGCGGCGGGAACAAAGCTAGTGCGAATCCAGCGTGTACCCCGTCGTTTGACCTATATAATATTTATGCACGGGGCTCGGCAGCGGCGGCGGCACGGATCGATATACCGGCCTAAAAGCTCTATCGCCGCCGCCCAAAGGCTTGCGTTAGTCACTAGGTAGGTAGGTCACCCCGGCCGTCGCGTTTATTGCATCACACCGTATACAAACCGTGTGGATAGGGGCGGCAGAGGGGTTAGGATTGGCGGAGGTGCTAAGCGATCCCCGTCGCCCACGTTTTATAGCACACGGCCGTGCGTTCATTGAAGAGCGTCTCTCGCGATTGAACGAAACCGCACCGGATGGGGAGGGGGGTCGCCTTCCCTCTCTTCGCCGCCCCTATTCCGCATCGGGGTAGTGGGTGGGGGGGGGAGGCAAAGGGCGTCGGTGGCGAGAGTTTAACCGCGTTTACCCACGTGCGCTGCGCCGTAAGCGTGGGCGCCTGTTAATTTTTCGGCAAGACACAACCGGATACCCGGTTTGCGGTTACAGGTTAATATTGCAGGGGTTTTCCCAAAAGGTTGAAAATATGAACGCGTTCACTCGTGGCGAGCGTGGGTCGCGTTCCGCTCGCGGTGGTTTTAACATTTTTTTTTTTTAAGCCGAGACGCACGAGTGGGAAGAGGAGGTTTATATAAGAAGGGTTTTTTGATATATATATATTTGTGGCCAATTCGAAATCTCCACAGATGGATGGGAGACATCGAACTTATCGCCCGAGAGATGAGTGATGATAAAGTGATAACATTTTTAAGGTTATACCCGGGGTCCTTTATTTCCACATACATTTACATAATATTAAATTATTATAAATTATTCAAGTCTAAAAAATATTAATATAGTTAACATTGTAAATTTATAGCTAATGACTTCTGAAGTCAATACCCATATTATAATAAAAAAAAAAAAAAAAATTGTATAGTTATTTAGTACATTCTCTGTAATAAAAACGTATGCATTATTGTATTAAACAAATAATATTTTTTTTACTCGTAACTTTAAAAAAATGTCTCTTATCATATGTCTCTCTCAAACCAATATATTACCTTTATAATACGTGTATCTTTCTTTATTTACCAAAAAAAGGACCTCTACCTCTTACAGAACTAGTATAATTGGCGTGTCCTATCCATTATATTATTGTCTATGAAAATCTCAACCATTTCTTATCACTGTCGTGTTATCTCTTATCAGCTGATTTCCCTCTAATTTTAAATATAATATATGAAGTAGTAGTAATGTATATATTTAGTTTATTCAATTCTGATTCAATAGGTACGTATACTATCTGTTTAGATATTTTCAATTTTTTTTTTGCACTTTAGGGCTCTTTTTTTTCATAATTGATTCTACCCCAACGACTCTAGCTATATGACAGATGTCCGGGATGTGGGGAGAGGCGACTCCCCCCCCCCTTCAATCATAGTGCTGGATTTTTAACGATAATATTATTATTTTCATATTTTAATCGTTTACAATACGGCCCGAGGGATACGACAATAATAAATACGTATCGTCGTGTATTTATAGAGCCGTTAAGTATGTACTTAAACAAATAATATATCATATAAAATACCTCGAGGACCGGACCGGACCCGGAGGTCGTGAGCGGAAGAGATTATATTAAGAAAACAATCCGTTTCTTTCGTAGAAGCAAGAGGGTCTCGACGGCGGGCGGGGTGTGTTGTAAATCATCCGGTTTTATTGGCGGGGCCCGTTTCCGGTGGTCAGATCTCGGTTTCCTGCCCGGCTGAAGGGACAGAGCGTTATTATTATTATTATTTCCCCATGTCACGTTATGTTATTTATTTTAATATATAATAATACACACACACACACACACACCATAAGTCTAAACGACGAGAATGTGTGGTCGAGATCGAAGTGTCTGCCTCCGGTCCGGATGGGCTAAGCGCAAATCATTTTGGCGGTGACCGAGGACCTTACATATAGGTCCGAAGAGGCGGAAGCGCCCACTCGACGTTAACCCACGCTTTTAAATTGCAGCAGCCACACCGAGTATAATATAATAATATATAATGGTATATAAAATGGTATTTCGTTTTTCTTTGTCGGCGACCAAGGATGTCGTAGTAGGTGGAGAAGTGAAGAAACGGTGATAATATTGAAAGAGAAAGAAAAAAAAATGCATTGTATTGTTAAAAAAAAAAAACCGAAAGTATCTGCTTTGTTTTGATGGTTTAATGATAAATAATTATTTTGAAGTTTGCATCCGGATGTTTTTTTATAAACCAATCCGGTTTAGATAACCTAACTTGCCATTTGTTTAAATGTAAAAGAAAATGGATTATCCATATTGTGGTCGTAGGGGATCGAGAAAGCGGTGTGGTTTTTGTTTGAAGTTTTAGACTTAAAGGCTTGACAAAATTTCGACTACACGGGATGATTCGATTTAAATTCTGTAAAGAGATAAACCTAACCTAACCTAGTGAAGTAGTCGAAGAACTGAAATCAGACTATCCTAAGTAAGCGTAATTTTCCCAGGCTTTTTGGTCCAAGTATAATATCTTGAAGCTTATACAAATTACCCTGTAAATTAAGTGACATGTCGAAATTGATTAATACCCCATTTTCCCCTAAATATCGCCTATACAAAACTGCTTAAATGTGGTAATTCCCTTAAGTGAACAGTGTCAACTGTGATAACTCTGGTATGATAGTGATAATAAAAGTGCAAAATTAAAAAGCCACGTTTATATTGTGTGTATGCCAAATTGATAAATCGTTATGTACGTTTGAGATGGTTTTAATTTCTTAAACGTTATGGTTAGAGCTTTAATATATATAACGGCCGCCTTCTGTCTGGACTGCTGGCCGTCGCAGAGCAAAATGGTTTTGATAAAAATGAAGAATAATAAAAATTCAAAAGTCACCTTTACCACAGCGTCGTCGTCGAGAGAGAGAGAGAGAGAGATATGTGTTTAACATAAGCCGGGCTCGTTATTATTACCTCCTTTTTTTTTTCTCTCTTACTTTTCTTTTTTATAACCGACGACGATCTCCCGTGTCTCATGTCTGTGCGATGAACGTTATTGCGCAACTAAAAAATCTATATAATATTATAATGTTTACGATTGTCCGACGTCGTCCTTCCTGTCGGCCGTCGGTGCTTATTATTACAAACCGTTTTTTTTTTGTTGTTTTATAAATAGTTAAGAAATAGCTGTAGTAGTAGTAGTAGTATAGTAATAGTAGAGCGTGTCTCCCGTATTTGGTAATCGGCCGCGTTGGTCGACGCCGGATGTTCGCCGGAAGTCTTTTTGTTGTAGTAATGGAAGAAATCTGAAATTCATAAACAAAAATCTGATTAAACTAGTAAAACACCACACCGACAGACAGACAGACAGAGAGAGCAATGCAAATCAACCGGCGGTCGCTTTGGACGACACAACAACAATGCCCTCGGGCTGTTCCATAGTAATAATAATTTATTATAATAAGATGTTCGTTTCCGCAACAGACACGACCATTATTATTTTAAATATTTTCTCAGAAGGCAAACACAAATTAAATAGCATAAAATACACTTCTTAACGTTTACTTTTCTTATTCACTATCCAAAACGGTGGGTTGGACACAAAACGCGTGGAAAACGGATCAAATAAAAAATGACCTAACCTAACTTGCAAATAACGTGAATTAAGCTTTATTTTAGTTTTCGTTAAAATGCTTAAATTGGTAAAATTCGATGTAAAAATACATAACTTGAATAATATTGTGGTTAGGTTAGGTTAGTCTATATTATGTTATGTTGATCTGCCTTGGTTTTTAGATACACACTTGATGTTATAGGCATTCGACTCTAGAGTTAGGCTAGGTTTGGTTTGGTTTGGTTTGGCTAAGTTTAGGTTAGGTTTCTCGACAAATGTCTTGAGTTCGGTTAGGAGATTAGGATAAAATAACAACATGTACAACTGCAGTATAGTAATATAGTCTTACCGGCTAACCTAATTATATAATTTTAATGTGTACATTTTCTGGTTATTCTTAATGTATTGTATTTTATAGAAATCGAATTAAATTTTTTTTTTAAATATTACTTTAGCCGATTTTCTTGAAAGTGACCAAACATTTTTTTTGACATTCTTCGACAAGTTTCAACATTTAATTTATTAACCGCCATTTTGCCAATCGATTGACAAATATCGATTTTTATCGATGATGACACAACATTGTCTTAAATCTAGTCACTTGACAGCTATTATTGCAATGGCGATTGAGCAAACGTGCTTTTTGAGTAACATTTCTTATTTATTTGATTTCTATAAAACACATAAAAAAATAATCAGAAAACGTTGTACACAAAATTATGTAAATAAATTTAATTGTGATAAATTAATTAACTAAAAACTTTTGACCTCTACTTTATGTATTAACAATTAATGACATATATATATATATAGAAAGCACGTTGTATTAATTATATTTGTAACTAATTGTTTTTGTTTTTTTGTTTTGCTCGCAGAAAGTTTTGACGCCTTCCAGCAGTCGTACCCGGAATGGTGCGAGTCGTTCCTGGAACGGTGCGCCCGCGCCAACGACGACATGACCGGTTACATCGGCGACACGGACACGCTGATGGGCCTGCGGTCGTTGCACATCACCCCGTCGCTGGTGCCGCTCGCCCGGAACGCCCGCCGCCAACACCAGCAGCTCACGTCCGTGCTGAGCACGTCGCCCGAGAGCTCGGGCGGTTCGGACATCGACAGCCTGTCCGACGTGGACAGTTCCAGTTCGATATTGGGCTTCGACGACGATCGCGACTTCCCCGTCGAGATCCTGCCCGACCTGTTCCTGGGTAACGCGACCAACTCCGAAGACCTGGAATGGCTCAAGAAGCACAGGATAGAGGTGAGGCACACATACACACACACCGTCCAATAATTATATTTTCCCTCTCCCCCTCTCCCCCTCTCCAAACAGCATCGTTTTTTACATTGTATTGTGTTTTTTTGAATCATTAGTACATACTCAACGTCACATCGGACTTGCCGAACACGTTCGAAGAACAAGGTTCCATCAAGTACATGCAAATACCCATATCCGATCACATTGGACAGAATCTTGCCGGGTTTTTCCCTCAAGCCATAGAATTCATAGGTAACTATTAATTGTATATTATATTATAATTGTTATATTTTTATTGAGCCGATCTATAGTTGGAAAATATTAAATTAAAAATAGTATATTATATAGGCCTAATTGGTGGGGAGGTCTTAAGTCGCTACAAAAACTACCTACTACCTACCTGCCCCTCTCAAAGAATAATTATATCCCCCAAAAACTTGGCTCTAATTAAAATTACAGAATTCGAAAAAAAATGTTAATTTTTCAATTAAATTTCACACTTAAGTCAAATGGCATTAGGGAGGGCTAAGTGCGCATCTTGAGAAATCCAATGAGATTAGATTGTTGTCAATACTGCCTGCTCTAATTCGGCACGGGTTATGTTATTTGTCAAGTTTATGAAAAGAAACCCATTTTTTTAATGATTGAAAACAAATTGTAAAATGGTCACTTTTTATGATCACATTTAATCACTGATTGTCAGTCACTTTTAGTATTTATATTTTTAAAATATCAAGCAAGTACTGTAATTGAAATGGAAAAAAAAGATCATATCCACGCGGTATAATTATTTTAAATTGTAAAAAGTCTGTGTATGTGTTACATCTTCTAAACGGTTAATTTTCAATTTTATCATAATTTCCATTTAAAGCTGTTGGATTGTAAATAAAAATAGACAAGCCTGACCTTGCAGTCCAAATATATTACTCAACCTATCGTTTCAGTCATAACCTAACCTAACCTAACCTCTTCCTTCCTCTACTCGTTCAAAACGAGTAGTCAGTCCAGTTTATCTGCCAGAAAGACCAATTATTATTATTATATTATTGTCTTATTCGAGCTGTACCGGGGCAAAACGGCCGGTTATCCCCGGTCGATTGATGGGAGAAAAAAATGCTCGAATTTTTTTAATTTAACTTTATCTAGTCTTGGGCGTTCCAAAATTCGATTCGCTGCAGACGACAACCCCCGTTGTGTGTTTGTGTGGGCGTCTAGCTTGTTATGTACTCGGTGACTTGAGTATATATTATATACATTTGCATATAATGTATATTATGTAGATTGTCCGACGACGAAAATCAAAACCGTCAAACTTAATACTTTCTTTGAATATATACTATACAAAGCATAATAATATATTATTTTTCCTCTCTACTGCGTTTGCGGTATGAATGGACACCATGTGTGTGTGTGTGTGTGTGCCAACAACTAACCGTTTGATTTCGAAGGTCGACACCGGTGAGACTGAAGAATTTTTTAAGAAATTTATTTATGTACAAAAAAATTTAAAAAAAAAAAACGTCAGTCAGTTCACTAAAAAACTCTTCCCGGGCTATGACCTTTGTGTGTTTATTTTTTGTTCCACGAATAACAACCCGACGGAATGTTAATTAAACGTCTACCGCGTTAAATGGCTTTTTTTTTTGTCTCAAGTCCAAAAGCCTTGTGTGTAATTACACTTGGCAACGATATAGTCGACTGCTGGTGAACTTTACCCGTTGGTCGGTTTGTGAGATATTATATTATTATGTACCATGTCTAATATGTGTTTTTGGAGAGCGAACTTACAATACATTGTAAGTTGTGCATTTGTCTGTGCAATAATTGTCGTCTTAGGCAAAACAAAAATAGTCCCCAATAAAAAATCCTTATAATAGTCAAATTGCATTTGATGATGGAAGTCTGTATATTATTTTCCTATCCGTCTGATTCTTTTAACGCCAGTTTTTTGAACAAATTTTTGCTTATACTACATTACAATATTAAAATCTGTTTATTTCGTTTATCTCTTTTTTGGTATTTTCTAGAGCTTCAACGACTTTTGAAACCTAAATTGTAATGTACGTGTTTAACTTTTCAAATTGAGAATGATTTGCCGAACGTTTTGTTGACTGGTCGATAACAAGTTTTGACGCTACAAAATTGCAATTATGTTAAGTGTAAACCAGAGTAGGTCGTTAAATGAATCACTCTGTATTATTACTTTGCAAAAAAAAATCGTTTCGACGTGACATTTGGCTAACCCTGTATACATCCATACACATATATTATGTAAAGCAGCTTTTGGCCGCCGCCGTGTTTTGGTGAATGGAGACGCCCACGCGCTGTATTGCCGCCGCCGCCGCCCAGCGGGACGCCCACGCAGGCCGCGGAATCACGCGCCGAGTCCGACCGCCGGCGGGAGTCGTCCACCCTCTCCCCGCCGTCAACAAGTTACGAAAGGTCTGGAGACGGCGGGGTTTTTTTATTAATGAAAACGGGCCTTTGAATGGACGGCGGGCGGGCGGGAGGACCTTTGTGCGGCCGCGTCCCGCCCGGGCGGTGCGCTCGCGCGACGTCGATCGATTCGACGTGTGTCGGTCAACGAGAACCCGCCGCCGCCGTCCTCCCCTATCTTAGCCGGGGCTAGGGGTGGCACGCACCCAAACAGTGGCGAGCGGCCCGTCGAGCAACCTCGGCGACGGCGGCCGCCGGCTCGGTTATTATAGGCCGTGTTACCCGGTTATCGGTTACCGGTGGAGTGTCCCGTTAGGTTTTTTTTGCTGTCTGTGGGGATTTCCATAAATGAGAAGTCATCGAATTCTCTACTGCCTTTGCGGATACTTAAGATTTAAAAAAAAAATTGTCAGTTACACACACCAATTGTGTATGTTCATGGGTAGGTAGAAATGATTTTCATTTGTTTTACCCGAAATACACAGGATTTCCATTGCTGTGCGGTAGAGGAAAACAACGGGGAAAGCTTAACGTGCCGGCAGGTGACAATTACAGTGATCAATTATGTATGATACAGTCTGGCCCTAAACAACGATTGATGTGCGCCGTGAATTTTAATTCACCCGACGGCGGTCGAAAAATTCCTTAATAAATAATAATGTTAATATTATAAAAAGCGCGTGGAAAATTTATGAACCAACTTTTAATGAAATACAATTTTTTAAAAAAACGCCCAGAACTAAGTTTTTAAACCACTATAAGAGAGTGTATTTATAGTCTTTGGTTACACACCATGGTTAGCTTGAGGTTAATGGCAGCTACAATGTAACAGACGTGATAACTGTGTTGTGATAATAATGTGATAACAACATCGTTGATAATTATTGATAACCGCTCGGATATATAAATAACAAACTAGACTTACCTAACCTTACAACTCGTCAAGTGTAATTGCCGTTTTCTTCGTTAGTCTTGTCCGAATAAACTATAAAAACATAATCTTTGGACGAGATAGAAAAAAAAACGCTCATTCAAAAAAAAAATCTGCAAGGTTCAAAATGCGTGTTTGAAAAAAACATCTTGGAAAACTGAACGGACTTCCTTTAGTTCACTTTTTTCTTAACATACTCGCCCCGGACCGATTGTGTTTTGCCGACAACGATTATATTCCTCGGTTCTTTTTTTTCCTCGGTTGCCTAATCCGGATTATAGTCGTTTTGTGTGTGTGTATGTGGATAAATAACGCAATATTAATAATACCTAGTGTATTGTATAATACATATCCGACGGAAACCAAAGGAGGGGAAAAAAGAAACAATACATTGCGACAGAGATATTATAATATAATATTAACAATATACCTATGGACAATGGCGTAAACCCAACGGCAAAGCGGATTCCGACGAATTTCCTGTTTTAAAAACGGCCATATTGTAATCGACTGTTTTTATTTTTTTAATATACGTGGCAATAGGTTTTTTTTTGGTTTGTATCTTTGAAAAAAAAAACAAAAAATTCACACTTGAGACCCAAGTTGGGGTTTTGATTAATCCGCCTCGATTTAAACGAAATCGGGAAAACCAACTGATAAGAGCTAATGTGATAGTGAGATAAGGATGATAATTATTGATAACGGCTCGCTGATAAGCATAGATACCTAATAAAACAATTGATAGGTTATACCTATAATTGCAAAATACGTGGTCGCGCCCGGTTTGGGGAAGAGAGAAAGACAGTTTTGTTTTCCATAGAAATATCTCTGTCTCTGGTGTTATCACTTTATTCTCTAGCGATACGGTTGATGGCTCATCCGTTTTTCTATTATCTATACTGATAAGAGAGATAAGAATACTGATAAGAATTAATTCTGATTATTTATTTATAGTTCTGAATTTATGGGTTTTCCCCGTTTAACTATAATATTATAGTGTTACAGATCTAGAATACATACACAGTTATGTGCAAAATTGGTATAAATTCAATAAAACTTTCTTTTTGTATGAGACTAGGGGAGAAGTTAAAAGGAACTCGAAATTGAAACAATGGTCTTTTAGAAGCTACCGAATAAAGTATCGACAGTACATTCCGTACGGCCGTTCTCACAGGTTTCGCTTGAAAATTCAACCAAACTGTAAAAATTAAAATTATAGGCATTGTTCAATTTTAGCCCAACTCAATCAATTCAGCCTGTGCAATCGAGGGGGGAACATTTTTTTGGAAAAAAAAATGTATTTGTTATGTTGTGTAGTTAATTTTATAAAAAAAATATTCAAAATTGATACTACATAATATTTTAATAATAACGTTAATAATTGAATAACCACAATTAACCGTTGTTTTTCTTTTTTCTTTTGCAGACAACGGTAGGGCGCAAAAGAAAGGCGTCCTGGTGCACTGTCTGGCCGGCATTTCGCGTTCGGTGACCGTCATGCTTGCGTACCTGATGGCCCACAGGCAGCTGAGCCTGAACGAAGCGTACAACATGGTGCTGAAGCGCAAGGCCAACATCGACCCCAACTTCCATTTCATGCAGCAGCTGCATTCGTTTGAGAAACAGCTGCTGGACGCCAGGACGCAGCCCAAACACCAGAACATGTCCAACACCGCAGCCACGACGACAACGGCTTCTTCGGCATCGAGCTACCTGAGTCCGTTGTCCACGGCCGTGCAGAGTCCCGACAGCGGTATCGAGTTCGATCGGTGGACGCCTGGCACAGGCGGATGAGAAACGTCTGAGGGCGATGGGAGGTCGCCCCAGACGAAGTATCGTTTTTGATATGTGCCTTCACGCTGTAACGCTGCTGTGTCGTCGGTCGCCTTCATTTTCCTAAAACTATACTAATTAACGTTTAAAATAAAAAAAAGAAAGAAAACTATTAAAGTTTTATATTAAATTACTTATACAATATATAAAGATCTAAATATTATATATTGTTTTATATATATATATATGTATAAATGTCACTTGATTTAATGACTGCCTTTTTTTAAATATTATTCTATCGTAGTGCTCCTACAATGATAATAATTGTTTGTTTCAGTCGGCACAATCTTTACTTTTTTATTAATTATTAGCAACTAAAATAAAATTTGTTTAGTTATACCATATGTTTTTTTTTCTTTTAGATTAAAACGTTATGTTCCAAGCCATTGTATGTTAAAAAAAAAAAAAACTGAATTATCGTTATTGGTTTTTTTTTTTTTAAAGGTGCTACGAGACGTAACATTTAAAATTTTTTATGATAAGTAAGCGTTCAAGTATTAATCGCAAATGTCTATTGAAAATAATATTATAATCGTCGTTGTTATTTATCTTATACTTAATTTATTTACGTTGTACTATAAATGTTTATATTTTAGACTGATGTGTGGTCCGATGCCATATTTTATTATTATATTTGGCCAATTTTCATTTAGCGGTATTAACGATTAAGTGTCCCGTTTATAGCCAAAAAGCAACTACCTACTGTTATAATATTATTGTATTTTGTGTCTGTAAATTGTTTTTAAATACATGTTTTGTGCCGTTTATTCGATATGAATTAAAAAAATAAAAATAAATAACTAATGTGTATTAATTGTAAAAATTGTCGTACCGAAAAAAATTGTTTTAAAAAATATTATTCCCCAACGGTTTTTGTATATTGCGTAAATATTATTAACAAGGGTTACCACTTAATGGAAATGGCCATTTGTTAAAATGAAAACAATTGTATTTTATAACGAGCCCTATATTTTATAATAATAAGAATAATTAATAGTGCCATAACCAGGCCTTATGGCGAGAAAAAGAAATGTGTGTATAACTATGAATATATTATATATATATACATGTAATAAAAATAATTTAATGAAAAGAATAATGCATTTTTTTTTATATATATATTATACAATATTAACATACATAATTATTTATAACTAAAAAATACAAGAAAGCGATTTACAATAGCGATAAATACTTACATTCTTATCAATTCTAAATTTAATAAAATAATTTATACAAGGCTAATAGATATTTACATGAATATATATATGTATATTGTTTTACAATGTTTTTAGTGGTAGGATTATAAATGTAAAGCGTTGGCCGTTAAGCGCGTCAATGTGAATACGCCATTGCCTGTGGTCAAGGGGGACTAAGATGGGCCCTACCGCGTCCTCTTCCTCGTCCCCGACCTCGTCACCTTCGCCCGTCGCCTATTCCTATATTGCTGGTGGTCTTCTCCAGGTAGGCCAACGGACCTTGCAACATTGCGCCGGGCATGGGTCCGCCGGGCGCCGGACCAGCTCTCTGCTGTTGTTGTTGCTGCTGCTGCTGTTGCTGTTGTTGCAGGAACATCGCCTGCTGCGGCGACACCATGCCTCCGGGTACTTGCGGCGACTGTTGCTGTTGTGGAGGTCCGCTCATGGGACCGGTGGATATCGGAGACGGCATCGGTGCCGGCATGGGACTCTGGCCCATCGCGTTCTGGGCCGGCGATTTGGCCACTTGCTGTAGATCGGCCAGCAAGTTTTGCCAAACCGAGATTTTTTCGTAATGCCGACGGATGAGATCGTCCTTGCGTACCAGTTCCAAACGTAATTCGGATATATCTTCTTTTACTATTAGTTCGGGTTTCAGAGCGGACAGTAGGAAACGCTTTTGCAGAAAAAACGCCTCGAGCTGACGCGCTATTTCGATAAACCGCATCGTGCATTGATCAATGTCCACACGTACCTCTTCCTTGTCTACTGGTGAAAAAGTTTCGTCTTCCTTGGACATGATCTCGACCAACGACATGAACGCTTCGTCAAACTCGTCGACCAAATTGCCGTTGCCGCTAGTTGGAGTGGCCATTTCTAGCACGAGTAACTTTTCGCCTAAAGAAACACAATTGAAAACGTTTACTTACAGTGTGTATTTAGAAAAATACTTCAACCATAGTGAAAAATTGGAAAAATGACTAGGCAGTTGAATTTTTAAAAGGCGATCAAAACACTTGTATTTACGACTCGGTTACGTAAAAAAAAAGTTACAAAGTAACTTGGGTAAGTAAGACAAATTTATTAAAACTTGTTAAGATATTTTTGAAACGCCATACGACATTCAATAACAAACAACCGTACTCCGTAGATAATGAAATATAAATTACTATACATAAACTTTGTTTTTATTTTGTGGTTAAAATATCCAGTGCTCACAACGTAAATCGTGTTATCATCGTGATAACGCTTAACACAGTTGATAAAGCAACTCGATGTTTACGGCATTTACATTAGCACTTACCGTAGTCGATTTAAAAAATTTTAAATAACGTTTTTTACTTGTTTATTATTGAGTGAAATTAGTTTTGCAAGGTTTGACGTTTTTTCTAGCGCTTGCTGTAAAATCGTGTGATTAATGTACCTTATTTATTTATTTACCTATAATGTATGGGGTAAGTACAATTTTTATAAATTATATTGTATTCTAATTTTCGACCAATTAGATACCTTTTGAAATTTTAACATTGCACGTACAATTTGTTAATATGAATAACTACACAAAAAATACAAAAATTTCTTGAATGCTTGAATTTTGTACAAAATTTTGATGTCATTTCAAAACTAGTTTTGAAAGTCCCATCATTAAAATGCACTTTAAAAATATACTATCCTCGGTTATTTGTTACCTTTTACTACTAGTCAAGTTTGGTAAAGTAGAAATAAATAAGCACTACTGCCACTAGTAATTTCACTGCTAATTTATCACAATTCGCAGATAACAAACCTATTTATATTGTTGACTGGATTAATAGACATTGTGTACATTACACATCCTAACCCAACCTAGTAGAAAGTGATAATGATAATATTATTTTTAACACTGTTGCGGGCACTTTGATGAAATACATTTTACTGAATTTGGTAAACAATTCGAGAGGACTTCTCCCCCCTTTTTTTAATTCATATATTTTCTTTATTTTAAACCTATAAACTACTTTTGCCCCTCACTTCCAAGTTGCATAATGTCGTCCATACTTGGGGGCGTCAAATATTTTAATGAAAAATAATCAATTTGTTTTATACGAAGTAATTAATTAAAATACAGAATAATGGGTAGTGTTTTTTTTAAACAATACTGGTTTATACTTAATAATCCGTCACGGATTGGTCTAATTTTCAGACCTAAAATCCTAAAACTTCATCTAAAAAAGCGAACCAAAAGAAAAAAGTTTCCACCCCTGTTAGGGGAAAGGGTTTATGATAATTATTTTTTGGTTTGTTAACGTTCATCTGTAGTACTGTGTCAAAAGAATATTGCACACAAATTTGAAACTCTAGTTTTCCTCGACTTTGAATGGGAAGGGATGAACATGTTATCATTTTAGGCCCAACAAAGTACCTTTTGGGTATGATTTCTGATCTTTAGAGTTGATACACAAAAATAAAAACAATAAATATACATTCTCAGTTACGCATTTAGGCTAATAATAACATTTAAAACATACTATTATATTAATCACTTTATTATAATGTTATGTCCTACCGATTTTGTCTTGGTAACGACCGGTTGAAGTTTGTTATTCAATTTATTTTTTTATTGATAATAAATTTCAAAATAATTGACCATTAATTAATATAAATCGTGTTGACTCGTACTTCGGACATTGATATTATATTATGTTGTGTGAGTAGATTTTTTTAAAGTTATTATTATTATTTTTAAACCTTATTCAATCGTCAATTATTGGAAACAAATCTTTAAACGTCGACTGGAATAATGTATATATTAATAATTTACAATATTATCGACAGGCGGATAAAAAAGTTGACCAATAGGCAGCTAAAAATAGGTATACACATATTATTATCATTTAAAAGATGTCTAGTAATTAAGACATGAAAATTAAGAAGACATTAACATTATATGCAATTTTATTAACATTTTTGGGTTGTTTTTTTTAAATTAAAATACATGCAAGTCTTTGGATTTTTTTTTTATAGAAATGAACATTTACTTTTACGTTTTTCAAACAAATTGTACTACAACAGAAATTATCGCATTTATTATACATTTTTCCACTAATTTGTTACACTTACCTTGGCTCGTCTATTTTTTTGTATTAAAACAAAAAATAATTTTCAAGGACAAATATATGTCTTTTTTTCCCATTGTAATTTTTAATTATGGTCAATAACGTTTCTGTTATTGTTTTCATGATAAATCTAAATAATAAAACTCGAAAAGTTGCCTACACAAATAAGTAACAGACTTGAAAATATTTACTAAAATTGTCTTTAATATATTCTAAAATATATTTTGCTAAAACGATTCCTGTTTCAAACAACTTTTTACTGAACATAAAATTAAATATCTTAATTTATTTAGCCTTTCTTTGTTTTGTTATATAAAACATTTTAAATGGGTAACAATTGTTATTTTCTGGATTTTTTTTTCTCTGAACGTTTTGTGTTGTTCAATGTTTTGGTTTATTATATTTTTTTTAAGTGTACAAACAATGGAAATGCATTTATTTTTATTTCGATGGCAGCCGATAAATTTAGTTAATTAATTTTCCATTAGTTTGGTTGAAAGCAATCAACAATTTTTTGGGTAATGATAAATCAGTTTATAATCACTTTATTATTTAATTTTACATTATAATCTGGTTCCAATATCTAACGTTCGTTTAGATTGTCTGTTGTTTGTTTACTCTGACTAATAATTTCAGAGATCAACAGTCACCCACTAATGAGTTTTATGCAGTTATTCGTTTGTGATTACGAGTGTTTTAGTGTTTTAATCCAATACATTTTCATATAGACACCAGTAGCACATCTACCATTGACTATAGCAATAATATACTGTATAATATCTATAATTCGACTGTTAGTGTCTAAACAAATTAATTACAAACAATATGTCAGCCAACGATTGTCAGGGTTACGGTTTGACGTTGAGAGCGTGTTACCGTTTTTTCTACAAATATCGGTCCGACGCTGACGTTTTCCATTCGGAAATGTGTGACGATCCGTTTGCACGATACATCGACTGTTTAAAGGTAATTGTCATTTGTTTTTAACATAAACACGTCTTTAAATTTTAGGAATGACACGTCAGACCTATGGAAGAGTGTGCGTCGGTCAAAAAGGACTATGATCAGTGCTTTAATTCATGGTTCAAAGACAAATATCTTAAAGGCGACGACGACGATTCTATGTGTTCGGAGCTGTTGAAAAATTATACAAACTGTGTGAAGGTATATTGACTATAGCGTTGCAAGAGTAGTGAATTTTAGTTTAATAAAAAAAAAAAAGTAATTTTATCATTCAAAAGTTATTTGTGTTTGTGGTTTGTGTTGGCTTTAATTTGTTTGGTTTCTATTTCAAATTGTATTGAGCATTTAAATAAATATACATATACACACATATAACATATCGTACAAAACTCAATTGAAACACGCTATTTTGTTTTTGTGTTCCAGAAAGCGATGAAAGACAGAGACGTAGACGTATCGGATTTGTTGCGGTATCATTCGTCAGTCAGATTTCAGGATGACGCTAAGCCAGCAACTTAACCGTTTATTTACATTTTTTCTATTTTATTTCGTATTTTACAGAGGTACAATTTTTTTATGGTTGTGTGTCTGTACAGAATTGTTCTCATATTCTTTAGTTTGATTTTGATTAAATTATATCCGATGGTAGTGGTTATGAATTGTTGTTGTAATTATTATTTTTTTTATCACAAATTGATCTCACTTAATGTGTATGACGTATATCGGACAATCTTGTTGAAGTAAAATCGAATAATTGTCTGGTAAAATATCTCGCTTGAAATTCAAGTTGCAACTTTCTGAAAAAATAAAATATTGTTTTAGTTAATCGAAATTGACATTTCCTAATGGTACACTTTAAAGAATTACAACATTTTACCCAATTAAAAAGTTGGCACTTTTTAGGCAATATCTTTATTTTTTTTAACTAAAAATTAAATAACTGACAACTTGACAATTGTTTCAAATGTCTTTATTTTTATCAACCATGTAATGTTTGAAATACAAAAACAAAGATATATTATTTTATTTTATTTTCATGTATTTAAGTCAATTGTGTATATTGTAGTTTGCAATTCAAGTTGGTGTCATATTTTTTTGGTGTTATATTAGACCTAATAAAATATGTCGTAACAAATCCGTGACTATTTAAATATGTTTTTACTTAAAATAAAAATGTTTAATTAAAAAATTATCTATGTAAAAACAGTTAACAAATTAATTACTCAAGTGATTATTTTAATACAAATAGAAATAATTGTACAAAATAATAATATATTGAAAAAAAAAACAAATTAAAATTAAAGGTAGGTATTTGAAAAAGTCAATTAAAATAATTTTCAAAAAATAAACAAAACATTGCAGAAATTAAACATGTGTCTTAAATTGGTGTCAACACCTATTGTATAAATTGTAAAACTTACTTAGTTTTTCTTGGAATGTTTTAAAAGTTTCTGGATTCCTCTGTGTACAAAACAAATATATTTCTGTAGTACCATTCATCATGAGCCATTTTAACGCGTCACACAACGGATCGAACATGTTTTGATCAAACACTACGTCTACGAAACAAAAAACAAAACGTTCAATCTATATCTATAATTATTGTTATTATTAACAAATTTTTTTATATTTAATTACTACCTATCGATTAAATTCACCTGCTGCTAATACTAAATCGGGTTTTGTTTCATAATTCAATTTAACGTCCCCTATGTTATCCCACGAAAGTTGTACGACTTTAAACTTGCAATTGAACGTATGAAGATTTTGATTTACTTGAATATTATTTTTTAACACATCCAAAACTGCCGAGTGGCAATCGGTAAACCAATATTCCCGCGGTTTACAGTTTATACAAGCGCTCAATCCGCTTAAACCTGTTCCGCAGCCTAATTCCATTATGACCCGATTGTCGAGCAAATGTTTGTTCCTTAAACACCAACAAGCCATTGCAATACCTGCCTGAGAATAGGTGAGATTTTTAGAAACCAAATATACAGCGTACTTTATTGTCATTTAAATCACACCTGCCATGTACAAAGTCCCGTAGTTCCGTGAGATACGATGCTGGTGCTCTCTTGAATTGTCAAAATGGATTTAATTTCATCGGTTTCGTCACTGTTAAACGCGTAGTGTTTGTAAAAAGGTCCTTCATTTGGGTCTTTTTGAATGAGTTCGATATATTTATAGTAAATTTCATCACACAACTCATTTTCTTTCTTTTCCATCTAAGCATGAAAAACGACAATTAATAATTGTAAAACAACTGACAGTCGACAATGATAACGGTTTAAAAATTAACAATAATTCTTTTGAAAGCTAATTAGACAAAAAAAAAAAAATTATATTTTCAAGAAATATAATTACTTGGTTTATCATTTTTTTTAAAAACTTGGCGACGTATGGCGTTTTGAGAGGAAAGTTCTGCAACGTATCGTGAGTCAGTAAGTCCAAAATCAAACTAACATCAGTATCAGTCATTTCCTATAACGAAAACATTAATTTTTTGGAGTATAATAAACTCGTTAAGGGTGTAATTCGTCGTTACTTACATCGAAATGAACAGCTGAAATTTGAGTAGCGCACAAAAACTGTTTGACTAGCTTATTTTTCAAATGTTCTAAACTCATTTTCGATTATAGTCTAATCGAATAAACATATAGAAAATTATTAGAAAATTATATATACACTTGATTGCGTTTTAGGAGCATAAAACCCGTTAAAACTTTAACGCGATATTTGAGAGCGAAAAGTATACAAATAAATTGTATTTTTAATTTTCAAAATATAAGTTATAACGCTGAAATCGTAATGACTAGTCCGGTCGTTTTAATGCAATCACTATTCAGTTATCACATTTCAAATGTTAAGCTGATAACAATTTTTTAACAGTCTCGTTTTCATTGGTATCAACCAAGATTTAAATTGTGGTATAAACGGTTACATTATATGGTAACTAATGGTGCCCGCTATATCGAAATAAAAATTATTCCATGGCAGTTTTGCCGTGTAAGAGGTATCATCATATAGTTTTCTGTTTAATTTTCATTTTGCCTTTTAATAAAATATCTAAATAATCTAGTAATGATATTTTAAAAATATTATTTCGTTTTTGAGCGATAATTCTTCACTTTTATTTATTAATAATATACCTATATATTATTGTACTTCTTAAAATATATTTTCGCGTAAGATGTACTCTAATTATTGCAATACCTAACTGTACAAAAAAAAAAAAGAAAATAATATAAATTAATCGGTGGTCGAATTGGTCGACAGTCTTAAAAATGTAATTTTACCTCAGTCGAAACCTAGATGGAAATTTGTCTTATACCTAATAAAAGTATGTGATAATAAAAGTAGAAATGTCACCGAATCCCTTTTAGATTTTCCAATAAAATATTTTTGTACACATAATTGATCGTTTAATATGTTTTGGTCAAAATGATAGTTACGACTGTTTATAGGGTTGAATCTTTTATTTTATTTTGTTATTTTTAGAAAGATTGGTTGTTTTCTAATTCGTCCAATAAATGTTACATACAAATTTCGATTTAGGTCATATTTTGTCAAAGGTTTAGCGTTTAGTCAAAGTTGAAATTCGCGTGTACTTGTGAAATAATTAAATATTTAAATAAACCTTTAAAATTAATACTCTATAGAGCTTATTTTTTTAAAAATTATTTACATTTTTAGATAATATTACTGATTTTATACTCTGGTTAGTATCCAATACTAATACTAGTGTGTACTTGTTTTGCATACACAATACGCCCGAATTGTTATTAGTTGTATTTTTTTTTCTGTTAATTTTTTTTATAAAGTATAGAATATTTATTATTATTCACTATAACACATAACAATATGATGTAAGACATTGTAAAAAAAAAAAGTTGTAGATTTTACAATTTGGTGTATACAATCAAGTATTAGTGTATGTAATAGTTTTTTATTTAAAATAACCTACTGAATTGCTTGAATAAGAGTTTGTACAACTGCGAATATCATAAACTTTATGTTTTTGGAACACATAAGGAGAAGTTGTAGAATAGGATTAAGATAAATGAACAATTAAGATATCGCGTATAAGTATGTGTCTATTTAACAAGTTAATAATATTTATATATATGTATATATATATAAATTTTTATATTTTATATAATAGGTATAATATTACGTTTGACTTCTTATTTTTTTTTTTTAATACAATATACACATTATATTATACCTAAAAAGAACTATTTTCTATATAATATTACCGTACCTAAAGCTATACAAACGACATTGATCAATATTTACTCTAAAATAACATATTGTTGTATACCATTCGAGGAAGTCAAATAGTCAAAAAAACATTATTCCAGTGAAAAATAATGTATAATTTTAATAATAATAATTTTATATTATTATATATATTCTTACATGTATTCTGTTGACGGTACAACGACAATAATAATAATAATTATGTATATTTTTTAGTAAACTCGACATTTTTTATGTTATCACTTCTATTTTATATGTATAAATATTATATTTATTTATATATATAATAAATATATCTATGATTCTATATAATAATATATAATATTTTTAACCTTTTTAGAACGTACACAATACCCTCACATATTATCTTCTATGTTCGGTGTAGGTAAAGTGTAATACTTAATAATATACTTAAGTATAAAATTACTCTATGTCTACATTATCGAGTGAATTAATCCGTCAAATTTTAAATTAAACTTATTTATTTATTTTTTGTTTTACAAAATAAAATCGTACGAATTCAATATCTCAACACGATATTGTGTATATTAAAAACAAAATTGTATTTTATTTTATCAAATAATTAGCTTATTCATATTTTTCTTTTCGTTTGAAATATCACAATTTACTGAATTTACCTTGTGCGCTAATATTGTGCTTTGGGTATAATAATATTGTATTTTGAAATAGTATTTAATGTTAAAAACCAAATTCTATGTGTTGTATAAAAGCTGGGAAATTATTCTGGTCCTCGAAAAAACAACCTACTTTCAGAAATCATTAAGATGTTTTTAATAATAAATTAATTACTTCTTACAACAATATTGTTTTCTCGCGAAATCGTGCAACACAACAACTTGTACGTCAAAACGGTCGCAAACGTTTCAAGTTTGAATTTTCTTAAATTTGAATTCAAACAAAGTAATCATAATTAATATTATTATTAACAAGGACAAATGTTTATGTTTTCTGACCAACTCGAACGCAACATGTGTGTTTACAAGTAATAATCTTAAAATGTAAAATATTAATTTAAAAGATTAGATTACAATTAATATTATTTTTAGTATACATCTAAGAAAGCGATTCAATAATTTGCAAAAGATCTACGAATTCTTATCGTTAATCGAATATTATTATAATATATTAAAAATAGTCATATCTACAGCCATTGTAGGCGTCTATTCTACAACTCTATCGTTATAATAATAATCATAATAATATAATAGTAATTTTAAAACGTCAAAAGCTTAATTAACCGACTTATACAATATATAATTAGGTCGTTCCAAAAATAATAGACAGCCCACTCGTATTGTTCTTGTTCAGGATTTTTAGAACTATTTAAAAATAGCGAAAAAAAACTGCACACACACATTTGTTTATTAGTTGAAATCATTCTTTAGGAAATTTTTGAGTTTTTAAAAAAATAATAATTATCCTCAAATTAACGTATTTTTTAGAGTTGTTATAGTTCACGACACTTGATAAAAATATTTATTTAAAGAAAACCAAAATTATCTATAGAAAATAACATTTTACAAGGTTTTATTTTGTGATAGGGGTCAAATTTAATTATTGTTACATGGGTACCGTTTTATATTATAGAATAATCAGTTGAAAAAAAGAACAATGGAAATTTTACTTGTGGTATACAGGCTGATTTATTATGGATAAGACATACTCATTTTCTTCTAAAACAATTGCAATTTTACAGTTTTTGTTTTCGTTACTTTGCAATATTATGAAAAATTACTAAATATTTACCTTTTTTTTGTATTTTCCAGAGGTGTATCAACTTTTTTGGGGAACAAATATGTCCAATTAACTTTTTGAAAGTAGAATAATTTGTTGAATAACTTAAAAGTTTTTAAAGCTTTTAAAGAGGTGGGGTGTGCGGTTGAGTAATGCGCCCAGATAAAATCATTTTATACCCTTCTACACTCTTTCCGTCTCGAACTTTAAACTTAGATAACTTTACATGTGATTATCCAAAGCTGGTTATGGACAAGTCAAAATGTTCAGCAAATTATTGTTCATTTTTAAAAGTTAATTAAAATATATAAATTTCCGTTTCAAAAGTCGCTCTGAAAAATAATAAAATAGATAAAAATTTGAATATTTTCTATAACATAAAGTACAGTATCTCCAAAAGAAAAAAAAACTATAAAATTTCATTTGTAAGGAGTAACTGCCTTTTTTTTTTATGGAACAACCTAGTATAGTATAGTGTTTTAATACAAGTGTAAGTAAACATACAAGCACACCGTGTGAAAATATATAATAAATAGTACAATATCAAACGTGTATAATATTATTTAAGTGTAATAATACATTTTAAGTAATCAAACTTTAGTAATATAATATATAATTAAATTTAATATAATATATATTTTGCGTCCGAGTCGGATAAACCAAAAGTGAATGAAAAACTAGTCAGAGTTGCCACGAGTACGGGCTCTTATACTTAAGTGTCAACTGTAACTAGTTTTTGTGGGAAATTATTTTTGCGGATTTTTGTTTTTCACATAAACCGTTTAACTGTATAAGTAAAAATTTACCCGTAAAAAATACTCCGTCTCACGAGAGAACGGTACTGCGCACAAAACCAAAACCATCCCATCGCAGTGCACACATTCACTTGCACGTTACGCGAGTTAACAATATATATTGTTGTAAATAGTACACTGCACTTTTATTTGAATATCTGTTTAATAGTTTTTATAAAAAAAAAAAAATAACAATTTAACTACCGGAATTAGTCACTCAAATGCGCATACTTGCCCGTTGGTTTTTTTTGTCGAGTTCACATTTTTTTTTTATTCCAAAACCAAACGGGTGTCGTTTAAGATCAAGCAAAAGCCACGACGTTATCAAACCACAAGAAGAAGAAGAAGAAGAAGAAGATGAAAAAGATAAAAATTGTTTTTAAATCCTATTGACATTTGATTCGAGTAATTGATGTGGATAAAACGTCGATAAGTATTTTAGATTTAGTATTTACCTTACATTACCATTTAACTTACAATTACTATTACAATAAAAGAGATCTGCTTAAAACAACATCTTGACGACCATTGGATTCTAATTTTTATTTTAATTATACAATATTTTTGCATTGGGTCGCCGACACATAACTACAAAACCCCTCAAGAGAGCTCTTGTGATTTACTAGTTAGGTTTAGATGAAAATCGTCTGTTATATCCAAATTTATATGGAGGGTTTTTTTTTTAAACATTCCAACGGTTATTATTAACCGGTTACTTCTCATTCGATAATCGCCTTAATTCTTTTTTAGATGCCATTACTGTACGGGGCCACGTTGATTGGGTTATTTTCTTTGATTATAACTGTGACAGGCGATTTCGCTTTAAACTTAACCAGCAAGTCTTATCGAATACTGCGATGCCCTCTTAAGATATATAATATAGATAACATAATATCATCATGTATATGTATAACATTAAATATAACTATAATATTATCATGTATAAACTATTTACTTCTTATACAAACAAATAATGTCCTTAATTATTATTAAATATATATTTGATTTTTATGTGTCTATATATACCCCCGTTTGGCGAAAGTCGCTTAATCCGATTAAATAAACCTATTACACTATGGAACTACTATGTACATAATACATATAATAATATTTTTTAGTAGGATGGAGTCTCGTCGGATTCACAGAAAACCATATGTTTCGTAGACCTTTAGAAATCGACCGCCTCTGTCTTGGTTTTGTCTGAAAAACAAAATGTAAACAACGTTACAGTATTTCGAAACCTACACAGTCAAAGAATGGCGCGATCAAAAGTTGTTTGCTGTGGGGGCGGTATAGATAATTCAAACGAGCATGGGAAAGTGTCAGGTGCGATTGGCAGATAAATAAATGGGAGACAATTGGTCTAAGACGTTTGATGTGGCTACTAACGAGGGAAATTTAAAGTTCTCTTTTTCTACTTGTATCTATTGTAACCAGGATTGTGTGTATTGAGAATTGAGAATAAATCCGGTAGCACGGTTTATACATTTACCTCATTCTTCACTAACGATAACGCGTGGTTTAAGAACAGCAACTATATAACGGTATGGTGTTTATAGAATTGCATAAAGCGTGAGTCATAGTTCAAAGAGAGAGGTATTACAAGTAGTTATGAGGAGGAAAAGTGTCTCGAGACGTATATAAAAAAGAATAGAGGCTATGACGTATAAAGGGACGAAAACTAGTGTTAAGAGAGTGTGTAGTGCGAAACAGAAGAATTTACAATTACAGTAGGTGTGTTCATCAAGGGTCAACATTAAGCCCATACTCGTTTTTCTTAGTAACGGACGACCTTACAAGTTAAAGTACATACAGGGCGATGACTCTCATTGCGGGGGAGTGCCTATTGTTTGCTGATGATGTAGTTTCAATAGAAGAGAGTGTGTAAAAGTGTACTTGAAGAGCGAATAGAGTATAATGAAATGTAAATATTTGGGATCAGTTACAAAAACAAGCGAATGGTGCGACTGATGGGGATGTGGACGGAAAAAACAGAGACGTTGTGCGACAGAAAGACAAAAAAATGTGAGAACAAAAAAAAATCGTATAAAACGAGAATTTCTATTGGAAAAACAGTTCAAACGGTAGAAAACTGTTCGAGATGGTCTGGGAGGAAAGTGAAATAGTAAGACTTGCAAGAAGGACGTGTAAAGGCGAACGTAGACCGACGAAGAAATTATTGGACGTGTGAAGAAAGAGGAGTTAGCTGGTCAAATATGAACGTGATCAATGTGTATGGGATAAGGCGAAGAAGAAGATCTATTCGCGGAAGTGGTGATGAAGTCGGCGAAATCGGCTAACTTCAAAGATACTTGGCTGGAAAATTGTAACTTTTACTTATCCTCTTTGGTCTAAACACCGAAAGATTACTCACTCGTCTTCCCACGGACAAACGTCGTTGCCGTTATTGGGATTGGTTGAATCGGCGGACGTAGCCGTCGCGGTAGCCGCCGTACCGCCGTCTTCGTCTGTCTGATCTATGAACCGGGGGTGGCAGTCCAGACCGATGGCGCTTTCCGGTTCTTCCGTCGGAACCGGGTTTTCCATGTCCACCGAGCTGACGTTGATCACGGGCGTCACGCTCTGTTTCCGGGCCAACGACAGCGATTTTAGCAGCCGCTTTCGGTTGGACTTGGTGTCCAGCGTCGACGCCGACGACGGGCCGGGCTGCTGTTGTTCGACGACGGACAACTGTTGGCCAGGTTCGGCGGCGGCCACACTCTTCGGCGACGACGGCACGACGCCGTGGTGCTGCTGTCTCTCGGGCGATCGGTTCTCCGGCGACGGTCCAAAGTCCAGATCTTCGACCGACGACACGGACGGCCTGTCCACGGTCTGCTGGGGCGTGCAGCACGCGGACGACGAACCGCGGCGCCTGTCCGCCACGCCGCCCAGGCCGCAGCTCCTGCGCAGTCTGCTGGCCACCGAATCGGATGTGCTCTCGTCCGCACTGGCCGAGTCGTACGTGTTGCCGCCTCCGCCGCCGCTGGTGGAGTTTTTGCGCGACGACGACGACGACAGCCGCCTGTCCGTTTCCTCGGCTATCGAACTAGGCAACGACCGTTTTTTGTCGCCACTGACGTCCGGCGCTTCCCAGGGACACACGCCACCCGCTCTGTCGCCACTGTCTTCGGCGCCGCTCAGGTTTTCTCTAAAAAAAAATAATATAAAATAAAAAAATCTGCGCCAAGAATATATTTTTTAAAAGAAACCATTCGCAAAAAAAATATAATATAATTATACAATAAAGGGTGATTATTTAACGGAATACACTTCATTTCTATTAAAAAAATTGTAATTTTATCATTTTTGTTTGAAAACAATGTTATTTTACAATATTATAAAAAATACGAATATTATATTCTATTTACTGTTTACTAGTTTAAAAATAACTAATTGAAAGCTGGTTATCGATCAGTCGACATTTTCAGTAAATTATGTTTAATTAAAAAAATTAATTAAATAAGTACGTTACCACTTAAGTTTCAAAATTTAATAGAGCTTAGGAATTTACAAATACAAATTCGAATATTGTCTAATACTGTAAAATAACTTATTTAAATAAAATTTACACAAAAATTAAACTACAAAAGTGTAATTATTTTCAATGAAAATAGTGTTACGTTAAATGGACACCCCTGTTTAGAAAATTAAAAATTATATTTTGTAATCTCAAAGTATTAGGCTACTGACACGTTTTGTTCAACGTTAGCTATTGACAACTCAACTCCCGAAAAGAAGTGGAGTTTTAATATTTTATTTATCCAATCATTTTAAAAGGCGTGCCAACGATAAAACTAAAGGAGCTAATTTTTAATAAAAAACAACTTGAACCTAATGCACGCATACACGAGGGGAATTTTAAGATAAATCCTCTCTCGGCAATACATTTTTTTTAAACATTTGATTAAAATATAATACTATTTTTTTTAGATATTATCATCATGGCAGTGATGGCGACACAACGTTAGTTATAGTAACATACTATTATTATATTTTATAAAACAAAATGTCAGTATTCGTGGGCTTTGTAAAAAAGCATATTATTTTCTAACATTAAAAATACTAAACTTCAGCAATACACGGGTACAATATAATATATTTTATTATATTATTATATTTGTATAATAAGCATAACATTTCTACAGGTAGAGTGATGAGAATAGTAAGCTACTGACTACGGTGGTCATGTGTTGACATAAGGCTGAAGATAAAACACGTGAAAAAAAATACATTGTATAGTATAAATAGGTTATACTCGTGCAATAATGTAGTTAAAGTGTGTGAAACAGGTCGCAAAGATCAGTATCAGGGATATTCAAATGACATGCCACGACTGATTTTATTTTTAATAAATATATTGAAAAAGAGATAAAAATTAATCAAATTATAAAATGTAACAGCAGCTGACATTTTCTACTTTTTATTCTATAGTTTATGTTTAAAATTATTGGTGTCAGATTTGCTTTAAGTACTTTTTTCAATGTTTTTTTTTTGTTTGTTTTAATATTTGATTATTTTTAATATATTTAATTAAAAATGCCACTGCTTACATGACATTTGAATAACCCTATGTAAGTATAATACAATAACTAAGCTACAACATAGTATAGAAACGTATTCAAAAAGAATGTTTTTTTTTCTTGTACAAACTTAGATAGGTAGGTAAATCAACTATTTATATATACCAGTTTTTCACACGAACAAGAAACAAAAATCCGTATTTCAAAATAATAATAATAATTAAAAAATAATAATAATACAAAAATTCTCAATATTTAATTATTAAACGACCTCGTTTTAAGATCTACATGTCAAACGATGGTCATAATAACTTACTGGTTAGAACTTGGAGAGGAAGGTGTGCAAGGCAAATCTCCCCTGTAAAAACATTTGATCATATCGTCTAAAGTGTTTAAAATGTTAAGTGATGACTTAATAGTAATAATAATAAAGTGTTGTAAATGTTTTAGTGAAAGTACTTAAAATTTGTGTGAATATGATAATATTTATTCTAAAAATTAATAATAATACAAAGCAAAATATAATCAAACAGAGTCTACTATTTTAGTGTGTAATATTTATTTGGTGTATTTTTTATTAATTAAGACGTACATAGAAGTGCTGAGCGTAGCATGTGATTTATGCATTCCTATATTTACATGGTCGATTGTTAACAGCTATGACTTATCGAGTACACACTTTCATAAAAGTAAAATAAAATTGTACAACCGAGGACTTTTTAGCTCCTTATCGCAGCTTAAGCAAATATATTTAAATTAATGTTGAAAAATATATTTATTTATACATTTTTTAAAGATTTCGGTCAAGAAAAATTAAAATTTTAAAAAGCTCTCATCTGTTGAGTTATTTAATTAGATTTAAGAGTAATTTGTATATAATTTTTTGCGTTAATTAGTTCTATGTGAAATCGTATTTTATTAATTTTTCATAGTAAAGTAGTGTAGGCGTAATAACAGTACCAAGGTATATTCCCTTGGCTAATGAGTGGGCCGGTTGCCATCCATTTATTATAATTTATAAATTATGATACGATATTATGTTTGCTTAATTAATTTAAACATTGTAGACAAACCGTTTAGTTTTCCCCTATTAAAATATCTCTCGATAAAATAAAAATGGTTTGCGATCGGATTTGCTTTAAAAATATTAATTTCTTAGTTTATTTATGGACAAATCCATTCGATGGTATTAGCAAATTAACTCTGTTTATATAATACAGCATAGTTGTCAATTAATGTTGTCATTCATTTGTTCTGCGCTGTTCCAATCTGCCATGCTAATTTCTGTACCGCGTTATGCGATTAACCAGACCTTTCAGTATGCGATCCCTTGCATTGGGATTATCTAGAAAATGTGTGTTTAAACCTCAAGAGTAGGTACATTAATAAACATGGCGGTATCGGCGAATTTTATATCAACGTACAAAAGCAATTTACACAGTCATACCAGATAGAACAATATACGAACAATTATGCGGACAGATTAGAATACTATACTCAATACTAAAATACGATAAATATATGCGTATAATAATATTATGCGCTGTTAATAATACCCAAACGAAATTGTGTTCTGTATTGTAACGTTGTACAGGAATGTTTCATGATATGAATTTTTTTAGTATTGTATATTTCATTTTACACGCAGTAAAAATGTTTATGGACCTGCCTTGTGTAATTGTGTTTTAACATGAATAATATTTTTATGACTGGAGCTCATGAAAAATTTGTCTAGCATTTTCATGTCACGTTATCACGTCTCATCGGTCGTAGAATAACGATAGTATCAATTTATATTTAAGTAAAACGATAGTTAATTTAGTCGGTAACATTTGTAAGAGACCAGCTAATAAGGGATTAGTGACAAAAGATTAGATTTATCCAGATTTGATAGATTTAATCCGGCTTATTACTAATTTATGATCATTGATGCTTTATCAGCAGTCATTGTCAGCTGGCTCTTCAATTTAGATTGGAGAAAGGAAGCAGCATTTATCAAATCTAAAAAATAGATCAACGGTTCAATGTATTTTCCGTGCTGCGGAGAGAAGTGAAAAGAAGTAGGTAACACCGGAAATTGTATAGTTTTGAAATTGTTGCGGTTGTTTAACAGAGTCTCAAATCAAATTAGTAAACATATGAAACGAAATGCTGAATTTCACGACAACCGTACATCGGTTAGAGTAGGTCTGATCGAACGTGTCATCGGTGTATTCGTGTAATGTGTATTGATCAGTTTACCTGTAAGGAATATCACTTAGGTTAGATTGGCTGTGAGATTGCGACACTTTGATAACGTTGGCGGGGTGTTCGTGCGGGGAACTGGTAAGACTCCGGTCGCTTCCCCTTCGCCTTCCGCTTCCGACGCTGCCACCGCCACACGACGGCGACTGATTCGCTTGTAGAGCCGACGACGAGGTACCCTGGAGACTAGAACTGCATCCCGTCCTTATCCGTTCCTTACAGTCTTTCTTGTTGGCCGCACCGCCGACGAATCCGAAAAATCTATTGACAATAACTTGAACATATAAAACGCTGAACGGCTTTTTGAAAAAAATTCGCGCTAACCGTATCCGCGTAATTCATAAAAACATATTCATCAAGTATTCTTTCTATTTTTACTACGTCGGTATTTTTACCGTCGTACACTTCGGATAATTAATTCGACGAAGTCACCCGTATATATATTATAAACCAACGCTGTAATGGCGTCGTTCTAAAGTGCAATCCCACCGGAACAAATAACTTCTTGGTCGAGCGACCCTATTGAGAAAATACCCTCTTTAGACCCAACCCGCTCGAACGGTTTTGCTGGCCGTTTCGGTTCGTAAACGTCCGGTTAGAGTCGAGAAGTGGTGGGCCGGTCGTTTTCCTTTGAAACGACTACCTATCTATGCCAAAGCGACCATACCCCATAAAATATTTACAAAAAAGGTGACAAAAGAGTCGAAATATAAAAGCTCTAAAAGAGCAAAACCGTATTTTTAAACATAAATTTTACCATACGTTTTTTTTTAAGATGTTTTGCGTTTTATTTCAATTCCAAATCACATTATAGTCGACGATGAGAATATAATAATTTTTATAACGCCGGAGATATTTAAAAAATACTTGTTGTTACCTTCGTCTGGCCGAGGGCTGGACTCCGTTGGCGAGCAAATTCTTATAGTGTTCCGATCTAATAAACCTAGGATAACAGTCTTTCTTTAGGAGTAGGGTGTATACGTGCTCTGCGGCGGCATCGAACGTAAACCTGGATGGACTCTTCATTTCTTTGTGGGTTTTTTCCATAGTCTTGCCGTCGATGTTGATTTCGCATGGAGCGCCGGGTGCCAAAAATTCGCTAAAAAAATGTACAACTTGTTATATTTGTGTACTTTACAAAAGTGGCATTTTTTCCCGAAACTAACTTGTAAATTTCTTTCACTTTCAGCTGAATCTGCGACTGACAACTGCGCTTCAAATCGTTGACCGCTAACCAGAACCTGATGTTTTCGTGGCTGTACTCTTTCCGAAGATAATTGGTGAACTCCTGGAGACCTGTCGGCAATTGTAAATATTTTTCGTACATTGAATTTCCGAAATTCTTATTTCTACATTGAGGTTAGTGCAGCACAATTTAATTATTCGTTTAGCTTAAATTACAATATTACATATTATTTACCCGTTGCATCCGATACTAAATCTTCCATGGATAACGCCCATCGTTTTATACGTTTCTCCGTGATGGCATCCACTCTGAAATAGTGTATTCGACGAGGTTACAGTTAAAGCTCTCCGACTGTCCGTCAAATAAACGAAACCGGACGTACGGATTAATTAAAAATAGCTTAAAATACAACTCACAGCGGACAGTTGAACGTCCAAAATGTCTGATCCTCCGTTACCCAAGGATTCGACGGTTGAGCGCCGGTAAGCATTGGGTCGTACTCGTTGTACGTTTCGCTGAACGATACCAAGCCGTCTAAAGCCACCGAAGTTTTCACTCGGGTCCTCCCTATACAATTCCTCAACAGTTCCACCTGTACGGGAAATGGTTAAAAAATATACAGTCGAACTTGTATGAATCAACGTAATTAAGATCAATTGAGATCGGCGGTATTATGCAATATTTTTACTTCTCTCCTGAGGTCTTCGGAACTCCTTTTCTTTTTTGTTGAAAAGCTACCACCTATCTTGATTGGTATTTGTTCCATGACGCTCACGCACCCTGGCGGCGGACGGTGTACTCTCCAAAATGCCCTCTCCTGGCTATCAGTCACGATTTTTTCACCTTTTTTCCTGTCTTTGCTCAACCGCACCTAAAACAATCAATTGTCGCCATTTAAGTTTTGCGTTAGATGTATATATATAAGTAATGTAAGCTTGTCGCAAAGATTGTGATCGCATCGAATTGACGGTATAACGTAATCTTTTACCTGTTCTTCGGCTTGCATCGTGATGAACTCCCATTTGTTTTGCAGATTTTTTTTCAGACTGTTTAGAGAATCCTGTAAACAAACGTACAAAGTACATTAAACGAGTCAATTAGTATATTTTTTTTATCGCGCATTCTTATTTTTATTAAAAAGAAAAAAATTCTCACCGTTTCATAGTCTTCCAGAGCGTGCCGTTGTTTGTTTCTCATTAACCTTTTTGACAAATATATGGCGTACTCCACGTTGTCCGGATTTTTTTGCGAACACGGCCAATAGTATGGAATCTAATCAACATTGTCCACGACAACAATAATGTTTAAAATGTATTTATTTACTCGATTTGTGATTTTGAATCTCGTGTTGACGTTTAGGATCCATTGCAGAGGGACTATCTTTGACTAATTCAAAACGTCAGCACGAGATTGTTACACATAACTCGACAAAAGCTTCAATACACGGCTAATGTTTATTTGTTATAATAATAAAACAATAAATCTCCGTCTTACTTGAAACCTGTACAGAGAACTGTCGTCCTTAAGAGTTAGAGTTTTGGAGTCGTTTACGGGAAAGAAGTATCCGTATTGACATAACATATTGGCTATATGGACCGCTTCTGCAATACATAAAACATCATTTCAGGTTACCGGTGAACTCGGAAGAGTAAAACTAATGGTTTCAAATGTAACCGTATTAAGATAAATCGACTTATTGTTCTTAGTGGCGTTTCACTGATCAGATTCAATCGTTAAACGTATGTAAATCTGACAAATGTTCACGTACCATTGGGATTCATACGAGACAAACCAATATTGTATGATTAGAATGTAGAATATCATTGTCGATGATATTGATTTCTGGTCAAAGTCGGTTGGCATAACCGGAGCGACCATCTTAAAAATATTGGAAAATTCCTTGCAACTATAACGACAGCGAATCAATATAGTGGTCTTCTTTGGTAGGTTGTTTATTGCACCAATATCGATACTCTATTGCGAGGGTATGGAAAAGGGTAGCAACGTTACATAATTCAACTCGAGAACTTCACAGAATGTTGTCGAATTAAATGGAAAAACGTTAAAAATAAACGCGTGATGTAAAAACCTTTTCACGAACCAGTGCCCTGTGGAATATTTCGTTTAACAATATCATAATGGACGAGATTTATTAGAAAACTATTTGGCTTTTATTTATTGGTACGTTTGTGATGACATAAATAAATTGCATCCAGTTCTATACAATTGCTATTCTGCGTAAAAGACCTTTATAGGCAACTTTTTTTAATACAAATAATCATTTTTACTATTTTGTTAATCGCTACTCGAAACAAACAAAGTACTATCGATGTCATATGCAACAGAGAAAGAAGACCGTCCCCATAATAGTTGTTTTAGTTTGATTTACAATTTGCACCACATGACCTTATCTGATATTGTTCAGGTAACTTTCATTTCACACAAAGCTTTTATATTGCTTAACTAAGCCTCAAGACACTGGGAACATTGGAAATGTACCAATTCCGAGATCTTCATTTTATTTGTTATTCGCATATTAAAAAAAAACTAGTTATTTTCTCCGCTCCGCGGAAAAAATATTTATGTTATCTCTTATCACTTATATTTTGTCTCTTATCTCAAACTGAAAGTGTAACGCGAAAATGGCGACATGACAAGGGTGGCATGAAAGTTCTTGTATCTAGCCCAATAGCATATCCATGTTAATACCGATAGGTTCTATCGTTCCAGATGTATACTAATAGCCTGAGTTTTTTAAATCTCTAGTATTTAATATTTACAACAGAATAGCTTTAGCGTGTTAAAATTTCGAATAAAGAAATTGATGACTCTTTCTTATTGAATAAATTCGGGGTTCAAATCGATTTCCATAGAGACGGCGACCCTTGTTTATTTGACACTCTTCTCTCTCTCTCATTTTTCTCAAATATATTGTATAATAATGTTTTTTCTATGTTTAAATTTGATCTTTTATGTTATATACTAATACGTTGCGCCGTTGCCACATGCGCCTTTATTCTTTGATTTAATCGATTTCCGAGTCACCAGAGATGATTGAAAATGCTTAATGGCTTTTGGTATGTGTAAAAAAAATAATAACAAACGGGATTTACAAAAAAAGGCCGTACCGAAAAACAGATATTATTACATTGTGCGAGCGGCACCAACGCGGAAAACGCGCGGTTATTTCTGTTTATATTATTATTACTTTTTTCGCGTCCGAGAATTCCATTATGTTTATAATATTCATCCGTTTTTTATACACGCCATTGAAAAATAAAAGAACTTCTTTCTCCGACAGCCGGGAGGCCGCACGTTACCATGGAAATAGGCGAATTTCCATCTGGTATTTAGTGTTTTACACTCAAAGTTTTCCTTTCCAGAGCTCGTGCTCTTACAGTAGAGTACAGTTTTTAAATATTATTAAATAATAATACTGTTATTATAATTTAAATGCTGACCAAACGAATGTAAGATGTTGATTTTAAACACAATTAGTTTTTATTAGAATTTAGTTTTTATTTAGAATATCATTATATTGTTATTTTTCACACAAAAACCGTTATTCCGTATGGTTGAACATCTCTAATTGTCCAATCTCGTGGCTTTTCCAATCGTTTGTATATTTTTAGGATCATAAAAATTAATAACAGTATTTTAAATAAGCTTTTCGATAATTTCCACTCACCGGTCTCGTCGACAGTTAAACGGTCCATTAACCATTCGATAATGTTATACCCTGAAACAGTACAAAACAAAAAATTTACGTGATTATCATGTTAAATCGTTTTTGTATGCTGCTAAAATAAAAACAGAGTTATTATTTGTGCGTTCATCACACAGTCTACATGAAAACAGATAGTTCACTGGGTCGAAAACATAGGGGATTTTTAAAAAGACATATCAGTGTAGCCGCATAAATTAGTATAAATTATCGTGCAGAGTTATACAATATTATTGTACAAATTCCTTATTAATCGTATGATTCAAGTGATAACCGATTATATTATCACAATTAAGATCATTAATTTTTTCTAATCTGTGATAGCGTTATAAAATTTTATGCTTGAATCTGCGGTCACACTGATTTCGTTTTAGGCCATGTGACGTCATGCGTTTTGTTTACATGCCTAGTGAGCTATCTGTTTTCGTAATATATAGTCGATATTATATGATACAGTCTGGCAGGCTACTATCAATATTCGCCAAATTTATTTTCCATAGAGTTGGTCCTTTGTCCTACTTTTAGTTTCTCGTGCCGCTAAATAGTTTACAATTCTCTCGAGTGTCAAAAATGAAATATATATATATATATATATATATGTGGAATATTTTCCATGACTCGTTCAAATATACAGAATATAATATAGAATGTAGTATTACATTTTTGAAAAGACTGAACGAAGCGTCTTTTATATTGATAGATTTCTCGAAAATAGTTTTACAGCCGAATACTTTATTGCCAGCACTTGTCAAGATCAATACAAAGGTATTTTAAAGGTAATTTTGAGCAGCTCGGCGATTTTTGCTCCGTTCGATGTCGTTCGATTTTTGGCTTTACCATATTTTATTTAAAAAAAAACAGTAAAATATAATACTTGAATACAAAATTGCTGTGCCAGACTCTGAGAAATCGATGAAATAATTGCGAAAAGAGCTGTCGTTGCTAATGTTTTATGTCGATTTACATCCATCAACGTATCTCGTTACAATATTTTTGTCGGACAACTGAATAAAATAATTATAATTGTAAACTTGATACCAAATCCAACAACAGCTTGTCCGCACAGAAATTGAACGGCGAACCACAAAAAGTCAGTTGCAATTATTTTTATTTGCTCGCGCCGAGATACAATTCTTGAAAAATTGAATTAAATTAAATCATTTTCCGACGATATTTCATTCCGACGACTCGGTAATGTTTACAAGTCAACTCGGCATTATTATTATTATTTTAGATATTATAATGGTTTTTCCAAGGACCCTGAACCGTTGCTGTTATAATATAACGAAATAAATCTAATATTGACGCACAACAGCAATGTTTATTTTGATTCTTCTTATAATGTGTTTATTTCAAATACACCGCCTAAATATTTTTTTATTAATATTATCGAGTAATGGTGTTTCGTGACTGCAATATCTTTATTCGCAAAGAAGTTGTTTAGTAAAAATTGTATTTACATAAATCATAAATTATAACGAGTGTCTTACTTTTTATACATTTGGTAGCAAAGCGTGGTTCATGCACAAAAGAATGATACATAATATGTACATGTAATTTTATAACACATATTATATAACTATTTTAATATAATTTCATTATTAAATTATGGCTTGTGCATACTTTACATACATTCGGTGCTGTGGATAAATTAAAAAAACTACGATATTACTTTTGAGGCAATAGAAAAATTTGTTCCTAAATTTCTTTTCGTACAAATTTCTTTCCTCTTTAAATAACAACTACAGCTTGATATTATCAAATAATAAGAGTGTCGAAAAATTGTGTGATCAAACAAACGAGGATTTACAATAGACCTATGACTAGTTGGAAATTAATTATCGTTACTTAATAATAATAATAACAATATCGATGATTCCTTCCTACTAAGCCGTGTTACACTTAAAATAAATAATCATAACATCCGAAATTGAGAGATTCAGAACTTATATTGTTTACTTGGTCTATTTGAAATAATATGTCAACTATTGATTCATATGTACCTATAATACATATATTTACTTTTATGATATTCCACTAATGGACCATGTTTTCTAATTACCGCTAAATTATCGGTTTTGTATTTAATTTATCGCCAAGAGTTTGTGTTTATTTTTTAGCATCGAGATTGTATATAAAACAATCCATCGCAGACACGTGAAGTCAATACACGTATAGTGCGACGCTCAATTAGGGTTCCGGTAATGTACATAACTCACAAACGGCCAACGAAACTTTCAAAGCGATAAAGTGCCTATATACCGCGGCTGGCGAAATTTGCGCTTAGGGAATTTAACGCGATCCAGCATGGTTGCCAACCGATATTGATTTTCGTCTGAACAAACAAAAACCGTGAAACTTTATATATATATACTGAAACGACCGCCACGATGAATAATGCGTCGCACCTACACGTCGTCGAGTAATTAATTTCATCCGACACATTTTTCGGTCGACACATTTTTCTTTTACACCCCGATATTCTGACAAGGCGGTAGCATGACTGAAATTTTCGGATAAGTATTTGAAATTTTTGTATTATACTTACAGGGTCACGACCACCACCACCACCATCTCCCAATTTCCACAAGTAGGATGCTGCCGTTTTGTGAACAGCGTTATTGTTTTTTCTATGATTTATCAAATATATGAAGGTGTTATTGTCACCCTATCTAACATTTTATTATTCCTCATGGAAAAGTAACGTAGAATTTTTACTTTCCATCAAATCGGTACACAAAATGGCCGCCTCCTAGGTCGGGACATTTTTTAATCTAAATACGCGTTCATGGGGGCAGCCATTTTGTGTACCGATTTCATGGAAAGTAAAAACGCTACGCTACTTTTCAACGATATAAATTAAAATGTTAGGTTAGGTGATGATAGCTCCGTCATGAATTTGATAAATGATAGGAAAAACAATATCTGTTCACAAAATGGCAGGCTCCTACTAGTGGACATTTTAATAAGCAGCCATACGCGTTCCGAGTATTGAGTTCAGCGGTTGTGTGCCTTTCACATCGTTTGATAAACTTTGTTTGATTTTGATTGAAAATAACCGCCGATATGCTATGTATGGTAATTTTAAAGCCTTTAGTGTTAGTGGCAGGCAGTTGTTGGCCACGAAAATTCCACGGATAAAGTTCATGAACAATTTATAAAATTTGGTATTAGGTATGTATGCTCGATGAATTCGTTAATACTCGAGGATTAGGACTGTGCACCGTTCGTGTTTATTGGACGAAAGTTTGATTCAAACAAACATGAACATTTTATGGCCTTAATCCTTATGCATTAAAATCGAACATACGCGATATGGCGAATTGTATAAATTTCATGTTGTAGATTTAACGTTTATTCCTACATATTTTTATTTGTCGGTTGTTCGTGATATATTCGCATCCGACAGTAGAAACAGTGTTTTATAATTTTTATCGTTTCATATTTAAATATTTGAAGCCCCCGTGTTAGTTTATTTGCATAATATTTTATTGTTCAAACGAAAACGAAATATGTATAAATAATTTGTTGAACGAACGTTGAGATATTATTTAGTTTTAGTGTGAAAGAAAATATTGCACATTTTGTTGTTATAAACCACTACAATATACAATTTTTTAATGTATATACATATACACAAAAATGAAATACGAAGATTTGAGTGATTTAAATACAACATTACTACTTAATGATTTTTAAACCATACAAAAGGTAAAGGGTTTTCTGGTCTTTAGAAGTTAAAAACTGTTATCTCAAAATATTTTTTTGCGCATGAAATATAAAACTAATTTTAATGAAATATTTTGAAAAATTGTATGAGATCCATTTTATACTAAAAAAAAGAAGCATAAATTATAGAGTATTATTAAATTTTTTCGTCCCATAACGTTGAACCGATCACTTTCGTTTTGATTACATTAATAATAATATTAAGGTTTGTAAGTCGCGTGCTTCGTTAGGAGTTCTTTCATCCGTGTTTCCGTTTAGATAATATTCAAGAAAGTATAGAAGAAGTAAATTAACATAACGTAGATTGCCGCATATTAAGTTTTCCCATAAATTCGCTTGTATTTTGTACATATAACAGTTGTAGAAGATTGCAGAAATTTGTGTTATACTTAGTAATGTAGTACAGTTTTTTTTTGTCAACGATTAATCATTATTTTTAAAAAAACTGTTTTTCGAGTGAATGTATCAATAAAAAAAAAATGCCATTCGTGTTGTATAATTTGTAGTTTACTCTTTAGATAAGATTTATCGATAGTGGTAGCTCTACGAACCGAGTGGTTTTGTACAAGACATTCCTAATCAATTGATTGATGTCGCTCGTCAATTATTTGCCGTTCGACGGAATCGCGTGAAAGTGATTGAACGGTACTGTACATTAGGCGGCATGTCGTTATTTTCTGACGACTTGGGCTTTTATACATGTGATGATCGGTGCCGTTCCCCTCAGGAACCTTCGACATGTTATTATAATACAAACATAAATCATAATCACGGATAATATATCAATTCCGTGTAAAGCTACTCGGCGACAATATCATCGTTTTGGCGTCGAAAATCTTTTGCAGGGTTATTAGGCAATGTATCTAACAACCCGCTTACAACAGCAGCTCTTGGTCGTGGAAAAAGAAAAACTATTACTATAAGCGCATTGCCTACTGCCGGCTGCCATTTTGTGAACAGTTATTGTTTTTTCCATGATTTATAAAATTTATGACAGAGTTATCATCACCTAATCTAACATTTTAATATTTATCTTGGAAAAAAGTAACGTAGCATTTCCATGAAATTGGTACACAAAATGGCTGCCACCGAGACGATGACGGCACCTAAATTGGTATAGAAAATGCCAAGCTTGAGTTCAGTTTGTAATGAAATAATTTTCGAACAAAAGTACAAAACGTTTTCGACCCGAACGTAGAAACTATTTAAAGAAAATAATATATATACTTAAATAACCAAGTATTGAATTAGTCACAACAATATAATATTATATTATCGCGCTAGCTTGTTCACAGCAACGTATAAAAATCATTTGGCACAAATCGCTTGGCATACACATATTATTATTATGGAATGTAAACCACATGTTATATCAATAATATTTTAAATGCTAATAAACGCAAATTACTTACCGGCAAAAGCGGAAGGGATCGAAGTGAGGAATAATTTTTGACTTTTTACACGCACCCCAGTCTCTTCGTCTTTCATTTCTCTCACCAGCCCCTCCATCTGAAAAACACACATATAAACAATAACATTATTGGATTGCATTGAATATTGATGAGTTAAGTCTGGTATGATAATGAAAGGAATAGAAAGTAAGAAAGAGATAGAGAGAGCAAGTTAAAAGATCTGGTTTACTTGGAGATAAAATCTCAAAATTACTGTAATGTTTCCAAGGGAAAACGTAGTTAAATCATTTAAAATGTCCAAAAATAAAACTAATACAAGAAAAACCACTGACTTTGCAACAACGAGATTTGGTAATTATTTTACAGAATTCAATTGTCGTGTGTACTTATAAAATACAATGTCTGGAAAACGTTGAAGATAATCTTATTTAATGGATCCTAGATGCTCTTGGCCAACGTCATTTAAGCGACGGACCATTTTGTTTAATGTTTTATGGCTAAATTCACTTAAACGTCGTTTAAACGCAACCATGCAAAAAACCAGATATAGCTACACATACAAGCCCTTGTGATATAACTATATTCTACATTTTCGTGTACGCTGTGTTTTTGAAATTTTATTTTTAGGTTAAATATAGCACGTTTAAGTAAAATATTATAGACTCGCCCAACCTGTTCAAGCCAACCGCGAATAATATGTATAGTTTTTTAAACGACGATGGCTTTGGTTTGTATTTGCAGGATAAATAAAACATATTTCAAAGTCAACGAGAACAAACAAATATAATTTGGTGTTTATTTTTTTCCCCTTTAAAAGTTGTATTTTCGAGTTAACCCGCTCGAATTTGCTTTGCGAATATATTTAAAATAATATAACAAAATGTTTTTTTCCCGTAATTAATTTTTATTGTATTAAAAATAATGATTTTTATACATAATTAGTGCTTTATATTTTGGACGTAAATAGGCTTTTTGAATATCACATTAACACGGATTTTTGTTATTATTATAAGTTTATTTATCAAAAAAAAAAAAATGTAATTATACAAAGCATTAAAAAAAAACGTATTCTCGTTATTTATGGTTCTTCTAAACTTGTATATATTTTTTAACTCTCAAACTTATCTAAATTATTCCGTCGTCTTAAGAGCATTGTTATGGTTTTTTATATCATCTTAATGACACCGTGACACTGTTTACCGTATACCATAATTTGTAGATAAATATACTATGTTCGGTAAAGAACAGAGTATAGATTTGCTGGATTAAAAGAAATCCTAACAGATTTCAACGATTTTATTTGTCTTGATAAAATATAATATGTTACACTCTATTCTCTAACAGCATTCAGTTAAAATAATTTAATTAAAATATGTAATGCTTTTAATTGCGGTTTGAAACATTTAGCGATAGCACTTGCCTCGTTAAAAATACATTTGTTCCTACGGCTACATCACCCTGATTTATATATTATAACGAAACGATAGGCGGTTAGACGACTGTGTTGTTCTCAAGTCTCAAGTCAGGCGATCGATGTGGTCGAAAATATATTGTACTATATAATTGTACCGATTTGTTATACTTTTTACCTTGTCAAAGGCAAAAGGCCTGCGTCTGCGATCCGATTTATCCATATTGTTGGGGGCGGGGGGGCTGGGTCGCGTTAATGGTTCGCTTACCCGGGCTCCATCGGTCTCTGACCCCGCCCCCTCATTGTTTTGGACACTCGTTACCCGTTCATTTGATCTAAAACAAAAAATTGCACATTTTCTCATTAGGTATTTGTACAATATACTATATACTATGTAAAATATTTAACATATATAAAAGTAAAAGCCAGCACTTGGTGAAATTGTAGTAGAGGGTATGAGCATAATGTTATTCGTGATGGGTGATATGTACCACTTTCAAAATATATGCAAGTCTGTAAACGGTGAAAAGATAAAATATCGTTAAAAGTACTGTAAAAGCTAAAATGTGTTCAAAATTGTACATTTTTTAACATTAAAGTGGATACGATTAGGGTTTGTAATTCCTAAGAATATGTAGCTGTTCTCGTATTATAGGCAAATCAACAATAAAATGAAAATATTTTTCAAAACCCTGTTGATGTAATTTTCCCTTCTTTTGGGGTTTTCATAAAATTAAAAAAAATTGACTTAATGTTATGGCTGTTTAAAAGAATATTTTTATAAAAAACGCAATTTTTTTCAAAAGTCTAAAAAACTTATTTTTTTCAATTCTAAACGACAGCTATGTTTGCTTGCAAAATATTTGTAGACTTGTTAGTCGTTTATTTCGCAACTTCTTTTTCCCTAAATAAATAAAATGGTATTTTCGGTACAGTTTCTTATCTATGGATCTTTGTGTAGCAAATCTTTCTACTTAAACGATTTATTACTTCATTATTTTATCGGAATGCTTTTAAAAGTGGCGCTACCGAATAGTTTTGACCAAAAAGGATAGAGTAGATAGACTAATATAGTAAATTAATTGTTAAGATACGCTTCATTAAAAAAAAAAATATGTTTTTTTTTAATATACATAAAAAATTGATTCTTAGAAATAATCTAAAAAAAAAAAAAACACTAAAATCTTCTGTAGTGATTAATGGCATACATTAATCCGAGAAGCCATCATTTAATTTTATCATCCATTAGGAAATTTTTAAATACTGATAAAATAAAAACAAAGTTATGAGTAATGACTTTAATTTTTAGATTAACGCGGAAAAGAAATATCAAAAGTTCCTTTTTTCTTTTTTTTGATGACCCGATAGCGTATTTAATAACCATAAAACTTTTTTTACACCCGATAAAAAAAATACAGCAGAGTGTTTAAAGTTGTTAAATATTATTATTATTGTTATTAATTATCCTGTAAATGGGTTAAAAAATGAATAATAACACATCAAAAGGGCATAATATATTATTTCATTATGAATTTACACATGTAATCCGCGTGAAATTTATTTTCAAAACATTTAAACTTTTATTAATTATAACAAAATGTATTAAGTATTCGGTTAGATCTAAATAATTAGTTTAAATCACTTTTTTAAAACTCGATTTAACCACTGGCGTGGATTAGATTAGATTACGCTTGTGTTGTGTGAACTGAATAATAATTTATCATCACTATATACTCTTCTGCATTTTAATACAGAATATTTTAATTCCAAGCTGTGACATTTGTGTTTAAAAAAAAAAAGACGCTCCATTAAATCATATTTATATGATATTCGGTGCCCGGAAGGACATTAAACATTTTCAAATGTTGTTCGAAGGGTTTAAAAAAAAAATATATTATTTTAACGGTGAAAAGAAATTTTGCGATTTTTTTTTATTTAGCACAAAATCTCAAAAATATATAAACAAAACAAAAACCGAGAATGTATAATTAATTAATTTATATCTTTCAATTTTAGCGTACAATGAAATTAAACGATTATTATTATATAGTATTATAACTAAAGTTGTACGGGTAATACTATACAGGGTGATTGACTAACTGTATGAACCAGTCAATATAGCCGAAGAAGAATTAATTTGTTTTTTTTTTTTTCATTTTATAGTTAATAGTTCACCTAATTATTATTATTATTATTAGTTTTTTAAATATAACATCATTCCTTGTGTATTAAAACCACATAAACTTGAGCTATTTAAATAGTAAATAAATGTAGTATGTAATTTATTAACTTTTTAAATTAAGAATAATCAGTATATATATTATATATATCTGAAGGTCATAGGGGTTTTAACATATATAGAATGGAGTTAATATAATTGCAAAACGTATCAAATAACTGAGAAAGTATGAAAAATAATAATTTAAAAAAAAATCTAAAATTATTTTGATACATACTTCATAACTGTTTTTTTTTTTAATAGAAAATAAATTTATTAGAATTGTGTCACCGAGAAGGAATGCTTCGATTATTATTTACGCCTACAACGAATTCATTTCATTTAATTTCAAGTCCTATACTATACAAAGTTTTTGGGCTGGACACAAGAAATTTCATGTCGCCATTTTCGCGTTACACTTTCACTTTCAGTTAGAGATAAAAGACAAACGATGAGACTGATAATATATAAATGATAAAAGATAACATATTCATGATTAAATGTTTTTCCGCAGATCGGAGAAAATAACTAGGTCTCTATTTTTTTTTTTTACATAAAAGAATGAAACAAATTAACTAATTATTTAATATAACTAATCAACATTTATTTTATAGTATTATGTTTTGTACTAATATTTCACATAATTTTTCAACGGCATAAACTGGCATTCCAAAAATATTATACCGAAACTTTTTTGACATAAATATTTTATAAGCCGGAGAGAGCCGTTTATATAGTTGGTAGTTTTAAACTGTTTGTGCTCCATAAAGGTTTTCGTTTATTCTTTGTAAGTAATATATTCTAAACGTAAACATCAAACGAATGTGTGTCCTATAATACTTTGGAAACTTTAGTTTGATAAACTTCAAAACCGCTGCTGTTGCAGTTGGTAATTTCCGAATGATTTATTTAAACTCGTATCGCGTTTTCCTAGGCAACCAAAGTATACCCTCGTGTTTCATACTATTATAATAATATAATCCCAGGTAAAAGCATAATATTATTATATAATATAGGGCACTAGGGTAGGTTACATATTATCATAATGTAATATTGATGAAAAGTAAAAACAGTTTTCCCGAGGGTTCTCGACAGAATAACAAATCCGCACGTCTCATTAAACCGCCTTACGGTGCAAAAATATAATATTGTCGTTCAAAAACCCGAACAAACCGTTTGTTAAGTGCATACAATATTAGTTTGAATTCGGCAACCGTTGACTTGACGACCCCACCACGTTCCTCTTTTTATAATAATTTTAGACCGTTGTAATTATAAAGTCCGTTGTTATCATTTCATTTGACTTTGAATCGACTTTTATGAAAAGTAAACCCGTATTCACTATAGCTAGTCCACCGAAAGTGGAATGAAAATAAATAGATAAAGCCTAGTTATTTTCTAAAACATTTTATTTGTCTTATTCTTTTATAAAAAAAATAAATAGAAAACCTAGTTATTTTCTCCGATCCACGGAAAAACATTTAATCATAAATATGTTATCTCTTATCGATTATCTCCTATTACTTATCTCTTATAATTTGTCTATTACCACTCTTAACGTTGTCTCTTATCTCTTACTGAAAGTGAGAGAGTAACGTGAAAATGGCGATATGAACTTTTTTGTATCGAGCCAAATGACATATCCATATCAATAAATTCTTAATAACCTTCTTTGTTTTTTTGAAATTATCTCCACTACAATAAGTCAGGTGATCATTTCATTTAGATCATTGAACTGTGTGCATTGATAATAAGTCTGTTGTGTTCAAAATTGATATCCAGTATTGATATTCGGTGTCGTGAAAAGATAACTTTTAAATTATCTAAACAAGATAATAGATACAAGATTTATCCAGATAATATAGTACCTAGATTTAGAATAATACTATCTAGAATACCTGGATAATAGATAGAAATTAATACAATTTACAACACATATGATAATTGCGTTAATTCTTAAAAAAAAAATTATAAATATTTAGGAAACTTTATGGTTGACGATATTTTGGTGATAATATTTTTATTTGTTGTTATTATTATTATTGTAGAAATTTCTTATTGTTAAGTGTTAAAATAATACAGACTTATTAATTATAGTTATGAAATGATAATTTAACATAAGTCTTAAAATCATAAGAAATAAATTATGGAGATGTTACTTAAAAAAAAAATCCTTTTATATCTACATAACTTTATCTAGATAATGCACAACACACAATAATGATTTTTGTAGTATATCAACTAGTAAGTGGAAATCATGTTACCATATTTGACGCTTAACTCGTTGAGATGTTTACATGTTTTGTATTTTAATTGAAAATAATACAAGTATATTAAAATATTAAAGCTATAGGTACATAAAAGTACAATATTTCATAATTATTACTTTTGTGACCCAAAGACAAGTAGTAAAATTACTTTAATAATTCAAATTATGTACGTCGTAATGAGAATTTGGATGCGAACATTTTTTCACCGGTTTTTTTTTTTGCTTAATTTTGGCGAATAAACAAAACAAAATCTTTGATTATCTTTGCACTCGATTCATGTACACCTAGTTGTCATCCTCAAGTTGTCAGTAATCCATTTTGAACAGCACTGAACGACATCAAGTTCAATAATACACAGCCTTGTCTGTAGTGTTTAAGGTGTGCTGTGGTCGTTTTTGCTTCTTTATATTTTTCAAAACGTTTCACGAGTAAGGTATTTTCTTTATATTCGATACATTGTTGTATACACATAATACAATAATATAATATTGTCGACAACATAAAAGCCTAATATATTATGCAGTTCTTGTTGTGATATGTGTACATTAGGATTGTGTCTACATCGGTTATGGTATTCCGTCCAAAGACCTGTATCAATATAATAACAATATATGGCGCCATAAAAAGCGTATCACCTGCTAGAAATGCAAAATTATTTGTTTACACAAAACAGTTATTCATATTGTACCTACAGGTTATAGGTACCGCAGGATTCGAAAGATTTGATATCAAACAAAATCATTTGTTCACCAAAAGGTAATTAAGAAAATAATAGTAGCATCAAACAATGAAAAAAAAAATAATACTCTGTTTACTGTCTTTTGTACATGTTTAACTTTTGGCAGAGTTGAGCAAAATGTAATAAATAACGAATAACAACTTAAACAAGTGGAATGACACGTTATAATTGCAATAAAAATATAACTATTTTTTATTTCAATAATTTTAAAAAACCATCTCACGATGACAGCGTTTGGTCAGCGTGGTATTCGAATAAAAAATGATTTGAATTATTAAAGTATAATAAAATAATTCAAATCATTTCTGAAGTGATTTTGTTACGACAACATAATATATACCTAACTATAGTTTTGGTGAAAATAAAAAATAACACCATTCGAATAGTCTATTATTTTTACATCAGAAAAACTGTTTTTTAAATAAAACATTTTTCGAAGAATAGGTACCTAACACTGACGATAGGTCAAGCAAAGACATTCAAAAAGAAAAAACACATACACACTATCAAGTATAGCGCTATTGTTGTAGTCTTGTCAAGACAATTTTTCTCTGTTGTCTAAATGAGTACAAACACAATTCGTTTCTAGTGACATGTCGTACTTTTGTACAAGAACTTTGCAAAAAACACCGTGGAATTCTTTTATTTTATTTTTACAACAATGTTTAACGAGTCAGCTATAAATTAGGTCGTACAATAAGCTCGGTTGCATTCAATTAGCACAGCTAGAACGGATACACATATTTCCTACACCGGAAATTAGTAATAATTTATAACGTTGGTTTTCGATCATGGACGATATTCTAAAGGTACCAAAAACCGCAGATAGTAATAATAATAATAATATCGCCCCTTCTAGGCCAAAGGGGTCTCTGTACTATTATTAGGTATGTTTTTCGTTTGTTAGTGTACGTATAATATACTGTTGTAATTTATATGTCTGGTCGAGACGTCGGTCGATGCGATTCGAGGCTATATTCCACTTCTAACCTCTCCCTCTGGGCAATGGAAATCTTTTTAAATTATAAAATATTGAAGTTTTCTCGATTATACACCTACGAGCAGAGTTGTGCGAATTTTTATTCGAAAAATATTATTCTTAAAATTCTTCTTTATCTTCGCCTTACACTGCCAACTACTTGGGGTAGGCCAACCTAGTCCTCCACCACCATAGATCTCCTATACCTCCAACTCTCACTGACTCTGCATCTCGACCAATTCTCTCTCATTTTCCCCACAATTGATGCAACTCCTAGACTCTCCTCTTATGTATTCGTTTGTTATTCTATCCTAAAATGATTCGAACAATGTGTCACAACTCTGCCTACCAGAACGAAAAGCGAGCGGCCTGTGTATAATTGGTATTGATTTTTTTACCCGTCGCCTCTCGGCAGGGTGCCGTTGATTACCATAAATAGTTCAATCTGTGTATTATATAATTGAATGATATTACAATATTATTCAGACAGGGCGCAATAGTGTTGAAAAATCGCCGACCGTTGAGTTTAATATACGCGTTTAACGTCGAAAACATTTAACGGCCGTGGAATATTACAGCTATACAAATTTCGTAATCGTTATAATATAATACTGTTAATAAACCTACACTCGAATGTACAGTTTGCGAGTGTATTTCCCAGCCAGAATTCCTAGCCGACCGGATATATTGCACGGCATGTATTTGCCATATTAACGGCCGTCCTTAACAAACAGTATATACCAATCAAATGGGCTAACTTTAACGTGTCGTCGCCGGACTATCGTTAGAATGTACTTATACGTCATGTTGACTCTAAAGCCTATTCTGTTTGTCGTTTAATGGACCTCACAACAACAACCGTTATCTCATATTGTATATTCCATAGGTGAACAATGGCTTTCGAGTAGGTATTCAGCCAAAGGTAGAACAAGGTATTCTCCCTTTACTCGACCAAACCATATGAGAAACTATAATATCCTCTACAATTTAATAGCTTGTATTAAGACATGCAACCGTTTGGATTAGGTGGAGAAATGCGGGTAGAAGCATTTAGGCAGGTCGATTATGTTTGGGATAAGGCAAGAAAAAAATATAAGCAAATTTATAACTGGTTCTAGAGTTGAAAATCATTCGCAATAACCGTCATTACGACATTGGGTTTAATCCGCCTAAAGTTTGTGGTAGGGGCTTTCGAGTGGTTGATTATTTCAACTAATCCCCAGTTTAAACAAGCGTGGTTGTTAAGCCCTAAAACACAATATGTTAATCATCAGAAATCTGACGGTTTAGTACTTATATAGGTTGACATAGACATAGATAGGCGAGTCGTGTTGAAACGGCTTGTGGCGTAGACGAATTATAGCTGTTGTAATCCTTTGACTTATTGATGATGGCGAAACGTCACGCGTCAACCGTCCACGTGATTTGATGGGATAATATAAAGAGTTAAAATACAATATTTTTCCATTGTCAATGGACTGAAACGAGGTTCGCTGTAACGTGGTGAACGTGGTCAACAGTCAGCACCACGGCAATAATTCTGATTCCGAATCATTGCTGATCAAAATAAGCACAATCATTCTGCCGTTTGTCATCGTGGCAGAGTCTTTAAATGAACCGATCTTATGACCAAACTACACCTTTAACGTCGTCTTGCCAACTGCAAGAAGCAAAAATGAGACGATTTCAAGTCAAACTTAACAAAACGAGGATAAGTCATGCGTACTTCAGGCTTGTATGGGATCGTGGTCAGGATTGACAAAAGACGGGTCAGACGATAAAACAGAATTAATTATTAGGTCAGCTGGTGTTATTTGAATAATCTCAAAGTTCTCATTGAAAAAAGGTCCCATTGCCGAGCTCTAACGCTATACCCTATTCACCAACGACTCGCTTTAGCCAGCTTTCTGCGATCATACACATTATACATTTTATAGCAAGTATACAATGTAAAAAAAAAACCTCTTTGGACGCTCACCCGTTTCCGACGGTACTGCAGCTGACGGAGACCGTGCCAATTGTGTTTGCCTTTTTGCTTTCACGGGGTCCGAACGGAATGAACTGTTTACAGAGATTGGGTTTAGACCCTCGGCTAAGCGTGCGTTTTACTAGGGTCTACCAGCAAGTACAGATACAACCATCGTCGACTATCCGGACCGAAGGAACAAAAAAATAAAAAATTACTTGCAACGCAAAAAAAACGACACACAAACACAGGCGTTTCGATGCGATTTGATTGCGTTATTGTACCTACGCGGTTCTCTCACCGTCGTTATCTATCATCGTGTACGGTACGTGCACGGCGTTGTCATATCGGTTGTATACATTATACCATTACACAGATAGCTGCTAATACAGTGTTGATACTCGTGGCTCGAGTGCTTTGGCAGTGTCGATAAAAAAACCGAAAAAGTAAGTGTTTTACAAACATTATGTACAATAATAATATTATGTGTACGACGAATCTCGACCACGGTAACGATACGAAACGATTGAGGTGCACGCGCGGGTAACTGATTCTTCTCTTTCGCAGATGACAATGTTGCTGACATTTAAACGGATTTAAAATTGATGTCCCTTTTCCAAAACGACCATCGTGAAATATAGTTTTATATCATATTATCGAGACCGGTTTAAAAGAGAACGTCATAGCTGTATACATCCCACGGAAACTAGTGAAATTGCCAAATCTCTGAGTTCTCATACTTATAACTAACATTAAGAATCAAACGAGTAGAATCATTGATTGACCGTGGCAAATGTTCCGTGGTAATCTGTACAAACTTTAGCTTTTGTACGAGTTCGGTGCTCAACGGGATTCAGAGTTTTGAGAAGTAATCTTATTAGATTATTAGATTGTTGGTACGTTGTTAGGTCGTGTTGGGTTGTCTCTGGTAAGTTAGTTATGTCGTCAGCCGACATCAGTTGACGTTTACGACTTGAGTGAGGTGCGATACGTGTGGCGTGTGTGTGTTTTAATCCTTGTACCGCGCGATAATTAATGATTTACGACCCTATTAGGTTATAATAAACAGCTGTTTTAATTATTAACGTGTACCGTGTGAAAATCTATAAAGAGGAATACATGGGACCGCCGTTGCATTACTATACTAAAATCGATTGTACCGCGGAGGTGCCTTTAACGACAAGGGTTTGGCCTTTGAGTTAGTGTGGTCGGTTATTCGGAGGTAGTGATATAATCGAATTGGAGAAAACGCTTGAACTGTACCCCACTTTGGTAGTTTGTTACTTTGCTGGTTTATACTTAAGCTCGGTTCGGACTGTGCTTGTTTACACTGTACTCGGTTTGAACTGTATTGGTTTGTTTAAATACAAAGTTATTGGCTGATAGATAAAAGAGTGAGGTGAATTTCGGTGTGGAAGAGTCTATGTGTACATACCTACTTGCTGGTAAAAATAAAATTAAAGGCAACAAACATTTTAAATAACATTAACGCATTTACCGTGTTTACGCGGTGCCGCTAATGCGCATTAGCATTTTGGGTTAATGTGATTTTGAATTTCCCGAGTTATATTTAATTCAATTGGAGGATTCGAATTAATTAGTTGATTCGGATTAAGTTAATGCGCGTTAAACACGGGTTTGTATGCACCTAAATCGTGGATTAGCTCAATTTGCATTAATGACTACATAAAACACGGTAATGAATGTAATTATAACATAATAATTCTATCGCGTCGATACAGTCATGAAGGAAGGATTAAGGTCTTATATCTGACCTTCTCACATCTTACCCTAGTAGGTAACCTAAACACGAAATTAGCAAGGTTATAGCTAGGACTGCTAGTGTATAGTGTTGTTCACTAAGCTTAAGAATAACGCAGAAATTCTTAGCTGCCTACTCATCGCAGTCACAAGGCTTTTTCGAAAAAGCTAACAAGACATAAGATAAAATTTCGAATAGAGTATGTACATTATTAAAATCGTTTGCGTAGAATTCAAGGATTGGGGGTTTGAATTTTTAGAGGTGCTAATTTTGAGTCTGGGGGTGCTAAATTCCCCCTAGCACCCACCCCCCTAATTGCGCCTATGTTTATGTAAAACGCAGGTTGGACGGACTTACCGAAAAAACAATTTCTCAACATTTTCCGAGGCCACTTAAAGCTTAGGTCATGTGCGCCCGAATCCAGAGCGGCCGGACGGATGAGTTTGGTATACTGTCGAACCCGAGAAGGTGCTGCCGGTCTGGTCTCACGTATCGGTGGCCACGGGGACGGGGCGCGGGTGCAGTCACGCAAGTGGCGGGGCACGTCGTGTTATCATCCGGCGGTGGCCATTTCGGGGGTGTCCGCAGTTGCAGCTACACCGCGACAAATGCGTCTGTTGCGACGGATCTACAGACGACGGCCGGACGACGGTGCGCCACCAAGACGGCGGCCGGTGTCAGACATTCGCGACTGGCACAGTAATATACCGCGGGCGAACGGTCGACTATAACGCCGCACGGTGTTGGCGAAGGATAAGAAGAAAAAAAAAACAATAATAATATTTAAAAAAAAAACCGTCTTCACCGATTGAAACGGGCGGCGGGGAGGGTTAATTTTTGAAATAGAAAAAAAAAACCACAAAGCCCGAAAGGCGCAAGAACGCGAAGACGGCACTGCAACGGCGACGGCGGCAGGGGGTTAACGTGGGGGGCCGCGTGGGGCTCACTCGGCCGTGGTGTTCGCTCGGCGACTGAGGAGATGCCGCCACACGGTTCTGGGTGCTGCTCGTCTACCAGCAGCTAAGCGGCGGTGGCGACGCTGCCGCCGGGATAATGCGCTCTGCCCACCTCGCCCGCGCGCACCGTAGCGCATCCCGTGGCGGTCGGCGGCGGCCGCCGCGGGAGGGTACCCGACCGGGCCGGGGGTCTCATGCGCTTATCTGTGCCCCGGACGTCGAGCACTCCCCGTTGCCCTCGGCCGTCGAGCAGCTCCCCTTCGGACCGTGTACTACACACTACCCTTCCCCCGGCGGTTCACCTCCCCCATTCGCCGCCCCCACTCGTCCCCGTTCGCCGCAATGACGTTTCCTCTATCCGCGTATCGGTCCTCGACCATACGTCATAAAGGACATCGGATAGTAATCTTCGTCCTACGCGAAAAACACGCTCCGTCGTCCCGCGCCACTCCCGTACGCACCCTTACGCCGCCCTCCCCTCCAAGTCCCGTCGTCCCTCCGACGCACGGCGGCGCCCGCAGGTACGAACGTAAAATAATTTATTATCGCACCGCCGGCGAGTAAGTACCGTGTAATTAATTTTTTTTTTTTTTTACGTATATCAATATTATTCACTTCCCCTTTTGCTTGCCCTCCCCTCCCCTCCCCGACTTGTTCCCCTCTTTGGCGCTTTTCGGTAATAAATATTATTGTCGTTAACACGACTTTTCGCGTTTTGCCGATCTTCGAGCTAAATTGTTTGCAATGTAGACAAGCATAACAATTGTGTTTTTAGACTTTGGTAAATAAATCGAATAAACGATAGTAACAAAATCGTTCAAATAACGGCCAGATAAAATAAATGTATGTAGTTTTTATTCGAATAAATTGTGAACAAATTATTCGAATAATATTTTTATTCCAACAAATTGAAAAAAAAAATTATTTCAATAATAATTATTCGAAGTAACGTTATATAATGCGAATAAAATGCACAAATCTGATTATAATTATGACCTATTATTATATTTTAAAATGAATGTAGGGAAAGTGTATAAAAAAAATAAAAATACTTTTTTTATTACTCCGCAATTTTATGGATACCTCAAAATAATCCCTCATCTGTTACTTTCACTGATTATTATAAAAAATATTATTTCTAACATATCCGTTGACACACGACGTTGTTCTTAGGCAAAAAACAAAACGTCACCCGAGCTTTGTTAGCGCCGGCTGACGTTGAAACAACATAAGACTCTTGAACTTTCAAAGAAAGCAATGTACTTTCTTTTTTTATTAATGTACATTTTGATGTTAGCGGATATCTATGCAAAATAAATTCTAGATAATGCTAAAGATCATTGTAATATTGTTAAAAAAAAAAAAAAAGGAAGAACCACTTATTTTTTATGTCTCATATAATTATCATACTAAACACCCATACTGAATTGATGTTATAAGTCTATCCGGAATCAATGCCCGTTGAAGAGCTACTGATGAATAAAGTTAAGAATATGAGTTGCTGGTTGAAAATGCTAAAACAATGAAGTAAAACGAACAAGAAGACATTCGAGCATAGGCGCAATTTCAATTTTTAATTTAGGGGGCCTGGAAATTTTTTTAAAATATATGTATAAGTAAATATATTTTTGTATTTCAAAATTGTAACCTAATTACCTAATTAATTAATGCATAACCTAATTTTTTGGGGGGGCTAAGCCCACCCTAGCCCCCCCCCGTATTTGCGCCTATGCATTCGAGGAGAACACATTTGGTGGTAGTGATTGACAAAAATGGATCTTATTGTGTTGTATTGTAAAAAGAGTGGATACCGTGTAACGATTGATTTAATTTCAATCAAAACAGTTCTCTTGCAAACGGTTTGTTGTAAACACTATTAGCAGTATACGGAAATCGAGCTGTGTCACAAAACCCATTAAAGAGTTTTCCCGTCGAGTGTCGGCCATAATGCGTTTGTTGTTGTTTTTATTACATGTACACAATATATATATATATATAAGTTTAATAACAATAATATCATAATTTACGGTTAGTAAACCGACTTGAACCGGACGTGTTTAATAATTAACAGCAAACCGACGAATTTCCGGACAATAACGAACGGTCTCCGTTCGCTAGTAGCTAACTACTATATTATTCTCTTTGAATGAGAGACAATACCGGAGTAAAATTCTGAAAATGTGTTCTCGTAACAGGTGTTTTCTTTGAGTTTCTTCTTATAAATATACAATCTGTTTAGGTCGACATTTAATATAGTTCATTAGCAATATAACACAACACCGACAACAGTTTAAAAAATATATTTTCGACCTGTAATATTCTTACAGCACATCTCTTATTCTTGTTGGCCTTATATCCAAAACAAACCGGGATAAAGTCGTTTGAAAATAATACAATATACAAAAAAATATTACTACAGTTATCTAATAATAATAATAGCAGTGTACAAATATTTGTATCTTGAAACCTTTCGTTGAGGTCGAAAGTAACCTTGGCGGAAAAACATTGAATTGTAGATATGTTATCTCTTATCACTTCTCGCTTATCATTTATCTGTTACCACATCTCTGTTATCACTCATCTGTTATCTCTTCTTATTTTTTTTGGCTCCAAGTATTTATTTTTAACGTTTCCATAATATGATTTCATAAAAGAAAATTAGGTCATCTTTTGGGACAACGCATTTTGTTTCGGAGCACGTTCAGAATTCATCGAGTTCGCGCCGCCGTACATTTCAATAGATTTCAATTTAATGGCCTACATTTCCTTTGTGCCCGGGATAACGCACACTTGTCGTCGCTATATCAACAGCTTGCGACCCGGCCGTTAATGGCGTGTGTGACATATTATCGAACATGGGCTGAATCCATATTTGAGAAATCACCGAAGCGATCTGACGATCGAGTAGATACGAATATTAAATTTTGTACAGTCTTAGTGTTTTATGACCTACTTTACTCGTATAACTTATAATTATTCATACGAAAACTTTTAATTTTATCAATATAAACATATAGTAATTGTTATCTAGATAACTTCTGATAATTTTCGATAAGTTTTGATTGGATCCCATAAGTGAGAGTATAAATATTACCCTTGGTACAATGATGTCGATGCTTTTCTCTGATTGCGTGGAGTATAATGGCTATATGCTGCCTTCGTATAGCTATAGCGCTTAACCATACACCCTTGCCGAAATCCGCTATTAGCAACTTTTCCCATTTATTCCTTGACGACTTTTCAAAAATATTTCCGTTTTCCCAAGATCCGTCGCTCGGTCGTCTCAGCGCCAGTATATTCCACTCTCGTCGATACTTACAAACAAGCACGCTATAAAACAGCAAGTATACAAGAAGTCAACAAAGTGGACCCGTAGCCACCGCTGCAGTTTAAAAGTAGTAATATTCATTTCAAAGCGATCAAATCAACTCAAATTCGAAACGCTCTTTTGCGAATAGCTAGGTTTTGTTACTGATACAAGGAATGTCTTGTCGCCATTCTCGCGTTATAATATTCTAAAATATTTAAACACAAGTGAAAAGGTATAAATGAAAAGTGATAAGATATCAGCGATAATAGATCAGTGATAAGAGATAACATATCCATGATTTAATGTTTTTCCACGGAGCGGAGAAAATAACTAGGTTTTTCTGTAACGCTATTATAGGAATTCTTTTTCATTTTTCCATTTACCTCTTTACTAGAAGATGGTTAGAACCAGAGAAATTTGTAAATCTCGTTAAACGTACGTTTGACGTCGTGAACTTGTGAAATTCGTATACTTAAGCCGTTTCCTGCGTGCTGGCAAAGTTAAGCGAGAACACTGTCACTGCGAACGGGCAAGTTTCAGCAACAAAGACAGCCTCTGCTGCCAGAAGGAAGGAAGGAAGGAAGGAGGAGGAGAGAACGGTTAAAATATGTTATTATATTGTTATATAAGGCCGAACTTCGAACATCAAAACTTCTGCACCTCACACATGGCGTCTTATATAGTGTATATATAATGACAATAGACGTAATGTACCGAAATAACGCGACGGACAATAATATCTAAATGAAAATCACGCTGGTCTTGGAAAAACTAGGTCATATTATATCATGGGAATTCCTCAATAGGAGAACATATTTTATTTGTTTATTCTTCGTACATAGATGAAATATTGAGTTTGACAAAAATATACCTAGTACATAACATTAGGCCAGTTCAAAGTAATACTCTGGATTTCCAAACAGTTTTCTGGGAGATGCAGTAAATAAAATACTTAGGTCAGTTAACTTCTCGAGAGTCAGGGAGGGACTTCTCTGGAGATAGAATTATGGAATTCGTAAAGCTAAACATACTTATTTCTAATTTCGATAAATATAGTCATTTGTTATCATATTCTTTTTGCATACTCAGACACTTAACCAGAAATCATTGCTATCAATACTGTTTGGAAGGTTGGGTTAGGTTAGGTTAGGTATTGGTAGGTCTAAACGTCGAAAATATTCTCCATTTTTAACCAAACTTGTTTATGAAAAATGCATCTTGCCAGTTTGGTTCTGATCATGATTTTGGTTCCGATTGTGTGAATATTTTAGACTCCTTTAACCGTTGGCAAGACGTGTTAAAAGGATAATTTGTTTTATTCTAATGAGAGATATTAACATTGCACGTTGATGGTTATAGTATTTGTTCAGTTAGACGCTTAATACACACAATTGACACATATGACTATCGGTATTTTTTGTGACCATATTACAGTTTTTGTAGGTAATTTTATTTCACCGACTCATCAATAGTGTATTCGGAATTTTAATATTAAAATAATACTACATATTTGTGTAGGTACTGAAAAAAAAAACAATGTTTACCGTTAAAATTACAATACTCTTTGACATTGTTTTCCAACTAGGTATATAAGACAAAAGTCAAATATTTATGAATGTGTTTATTTGCTCGCATAAACAAAATAGTTGTCGTATTTTGTTTTTATTTTTAAGAACAAAGACCTTGACTGCAAAGGTCATTG